GAACTCATGTTCATGGGGTTGAACTCATGTTCATGGGGTTGAACTCAGTCATGCTTTTACTGTGAAAAAGCTGCCTCTCAGTTGTTTACACTTCTAAAAAATCAGGGTTTTAATGAAAGGAAGCTAGGGAGGAATGCATATTTTGCACATGTTAAAATTATTGTAATTTCTTATTTGACACTTTCAACAGCTCACTAATTTGTAGCAGGACCTTACTATTTGTTAAGGTCTGACTTGTCTGTGTAGGTGCCCATATGATTTATCCCCAGCTATGGCTTCTAAACAGATAATAGAAGTTTGCCAGTGCAAAACTGAACAGAGTTTTCTCAGTAGAGAAAGAGAAAACATGTTAGTGTTCCACACATGCTAGTACAGGAGCCAAACTAAAGAAAAAGAGAAGTACTTTGGGATTGAATTTCTGTAAGGTTGATGTAATGAAAACTCATGACCATGGAACCTTGAAATTTTGGAAAGCAATGCACAACATGGTGCAGAGCCAGTAAATGATGGAAAGAAACTGCCATCTGGAGATGGTTGTGGGCTGAATATCTGGATAGAGGTGTATGAACTACAACTGGTTGCATTAGGAAACTGTCAGAAAGGAGGGTAAAAAGTTACATTTAACAAAACAAAGAAGTTGGTGCTGAAAAGGCCTGAGCTGGTAAGAAGGTTTGAAAACAAACAGTTTGAGGCTGTCATATGGAGCAGTTAAATGGAGAGAGTAAAAGAGATGGGAGTTGCACACTGGGGCTATAGAGCAGGTGAGATAAAAAGGGAGACCGTAGGAAAACTTTATCTTTGGAAGAATAAACAGAAGAGTACAAGTATTCTAAGAACTGTTTGTGCCAGAACCTAAACAGTAGCTGTGTTTTCTGCAACTTGCTTTTTGTCAGTGGCATGCACTAACAAATTACTTAGGCACAGTCCATTGCCTGTTTGTCAGTTGGCTGTTTACAAATTAGGCAGCTTTCAGTTCTTTAGCTCAGATTTTATAAATGTGTTAGCTACTAAAACCTTCCTGTAAGTATTATTATAAATACCTATAGTAATGCATTGCTCTCACCTATGTTAAAGAGAATGCTAATGTAAAAAAAAAAATTGGTTAAATAGTTTTGTACTGTGACATTTTGTAAAAATTTTCCCCATCTAATTAGACAGAGGATACAATTGCTTTAATAACTTGACATACTTTAGTGAGACTGTATGATCAGTGAACAAAACTGGGTTATTTTTTTAATAAAAGAAGTCTGAACTCATTCTAAGATTCCATACTTGTAAATAAAGGAAGATATTTCCTGCCACTATGTACTTCATCAAGGTGCATAATGGAAATTTGTTTTCCTTTTTTGAACCAAGTTTGTTTAGCTGATGCAATACCACACTGGGCTGTAACTTTTCATTGAAGCATTATTAATTTAGTAAATGGGACACACTTTGAAATAGAAACAACAAAGTATTTTTCCCTCTCTTTAGGAATTGAAGTCACGTTCTGTGAGAAGAAACTTTTCACATCCTTCGTCTGTGAGTCTGAAACCTCAGTATGCATGAAGTCATCATTTTCATCCTAGCAAAGATCACAGAATGGAAGAGTGCATTCTTACACTGTTTTCTGCAGATGCTGTAAAACACTTTTTTTAGCCATGTACTTTGCTAACATACCTGTCACATGGAGGGAATGTTCTTCCTGACTGGTTACATTTGCCTGCAAGTGCCTCAGTTAATATACTACTCTTTTTTTGTCAAGTCACAGAATGAAATTTTGTGGTTTGGTCAGGTAAAAACACATGAAATAACAACTTTACTCTGCACTTCCATTCTTAATATAAATCCTGTTGCAGGACAAAGTGGTGATTTCTGATACACAGCCTACTGTATAAACTCCAGTTACTGACATAGATGGAAAGCCAGCGTACTGCTACTAAAGGGAAAATTTCACCTTTAATTTATGGGTTACATAAACTTGAAAGATACACTAGTTACAAAGTAAAAGCCATTTTGCCACATCCTGACAGCATTTTTGCTCTGTGGATTCAAATCTGTTTATTTAAATCTATGTGTATTTTATTTCAATTCCAAGGCAGTTGGTCTAGCTTAAAGTTTTTTGCAATCAGTATTTTCTACTTTTATAAGGTATTTTACTTATGTGTCATTTTAGTGCTTGGGTATAACTTTTTAAAATAAAATTTGGACTATTCACTTAATAACTATTTGTTCTCATCCTAACATTTTTCTTAAACATAGTAAGCAATATACTTGGGTTTATGGTATGTTTTTGACTGTAGAAAAAGGCAGTGCTGCTTGACTACTTGCATTACAAGACCATTGAAAACTTCCCTCTTGCTTCTTTGACCTTTTCTCTATTGTCTGTGTGAAAATTAGGAACTCCCTGGCAATATCACAAGTTGAGATGAAATACTGTTTTCTCCTCAACTTCAGGGAGATAATTTTTTTGTTTCTCACCTTTGTAGGATTCCTTCTATGTATTATAAAAACCAAATTCCTCAAAGGTTGAAAATACAGCTGCTGTAGTTAATAAGAGTGCAAGCTATGGCTTTTTGCTTCAGTAGGACTGAGGTCTTTATGTATGTAAAATATCCTTGAGCTGTTTGGGTTTTTTATCTGATTTGTAGTAATTTGGGGGTTTTCTTTTCAGGTAACTTTGTATTGTTGGTATTTTTTTCCCTTTCATCATTCAGGGATATTACCAAGTGAGCAAAGTAGTCAGTAAATAATCCATGTGTAATATGTAAATCTGTTTAAAGGTGGTTCTAGTGATCAGTTGGAGTCTGTTCTGGTTTTAAACTGCTTTGAAATTGTTGTAAAAGGAGAGTCCATGTACTGTGTCTTGGTTGCGAGTTTCCTCAAGTGACCTTCCACTTTCTGCTAGGTAGAAAAATATACACAAATATCATTTTAGGAGTTTCTGTTTTAAAAAACTCGTTACCATAGCAGCAGTGGGGGATTGTTTTACCAGTAAGTATCAAAAAAGGTGAACAACTTGTTGGATACATGAAGAGCTCAGTCTATTTTTGAAGGGCATCATCTGCTGTAGATTGTCACACTTCTGCTCCAGTCTGTACCACTAAACACATCTGTCCAGTTCTGTTTAATTTTCAGATTTTAGAACTCATTTGTACAAACATGTCACAAAAATCTTGGCTCGTTAAAACAGTAATTCATTTCCATGGAAGAATTTTTACATAGTATTTTTTTTAATGATGCTCTCTAAAGGTGCCAAAGAAAGGTTATATCTTCTGTTGGAGCCTTATTTCTTGTCATGAAACACACATTTGATCCAGGATTCAGAAGATTTAGTCCTTGTTTTTGGAATCCACAGTTTGTTTACCAAACAAGACTTCCTTGTTTTTAACAATGCTTTAGAGATCCAAGCAGTAAATTTTACAGTGACTAGTAACTTAAAAAAATAAGTGCCTAGAGGGAAGTCTCTTGAACTAATTGCTTGGAAGTGTACAAATACTGTGCAGTCACTTAAAAGTCATCAGATTGTGACTCTATTCTAGATACTCACAAAATGTAGTTTATTTTCCCTTAATTGGTACAGATGTTAGTGTGTTGATAATGAGTTGATCCCATGGCCTTTGCTTCAAAGATCACTTAAGAGTTTTTTTTATTTGCATGTGAACTTGATTGTTTGTAAGGATGTTCAGTGTCAGGCACTTAACTGTTCCCTGCAGTGCTCTGCTGTGGGGTCTGTAACATCAGTCTGGAGGTGCCTTTGGTTAGGACTGTACCTCCAGCTCTTAACAATGCTTCATTTTGACTTAAGACACCTAGAGGATACCAAGATGAAGCTCAGTGTTGGCTTTTCTGTAGGAACTGGAGGTCACTGTTGAAATACTGAGGGTTCTTCACTGATTTTGTAGCTTATCTTTCCTCTAAGTGCTTGCCAGAAGTGATGACCTGACATCAGTCAGCAGTGACTGAACCTTTCAGGAGTTGAATCCTTCTGTAGACACAACTGAGATATAACTGCCTTACCACTTGTGAATCCCTGTAATGAAATATAGATGCATTGAGAAAGAACTACATTTCCTCAGGTTGTTGTTACCTTGATGTTCTAGCATTCGTGATTTTTCTTTTGTTGTTTTACACTATACAGTATTGTCCTGCCAGTTCAGTTCTCCATAATAGGGAGATTCCTGTGCTGTTATACAGAAGTAATGTAGTTAACTGTAGATGTTCAGGTCAGGATTTTGGGAGCTGGAGAAAGGGCCACATTCTCTTTGGCCTTCTGCAGTTTGCCAGTGATAGTTGTAAGGCTTCACACATGTGCCAGGAGGGAACGTACCAGGTGAGGGCTGTGCCCTGGGGACATTCAGTAACAGCAAATCATCCTCTTCATGCACTGGCTGTCATATTCAGGTATTAGCAGACTAAACTAATTTTCTGGCTTCTGCCCCTTAGAATTCAGGGACCTGGTTGCTATGTCCTGTTTTCTACTGAGCTGGCTGATACAGTATTTCTAGTAAACACTCTATTTAATGCTGGGTTTCTATGACAGAAAGTTAGTTCTGGCATTCTCCACTAGATAACACTGGATAAAACCCCTGTGGACAGGCAGAAAGGTACTGAAGTTCCATCTCCTGTATTTTTGTGTGTTTAGTTGATGCATTTTGCATTAAGTAGAACTCTCTAGTTCACTGGCTTTTTTGGTTCCTGCTACTTCTGATCTTACACATCAGAAGTCCATTCGTTCTCCCTGAAAAACTGTTTACACTTTTCATTTTAAATTGGCAATTCTTTGCATTCTGAAACTGATTTTTCCAACTAGCTAATACTAAGTCATTGAGTAAACTGCATTCCAATAGTAACTGAGCAGAAACTAGCAGAACACATGGCTCTCTTGAAGTGTTTTTCTCTGTTAACATAGTTTTAAAATATGTAGTTGTATGGCTGCAAAATAGCTTTTTTAGGTTTGTGGCTTTTCAGTGTTGAAGGTACTACAATAGTTTTCAATTCTTTTGGTATGGAAGCTTCTTATGTTTCCTATTGAAATAGAAAATTCATAGCTTAAAGCAGTATTTTAAGTGTACAAAGTATAATGCAGTGTGTGCAGTCCTGTACACAAATCCAGATATGGCTGTTATACAGAAAATCCAAATCTAGACCATCGAGTTTCATTCTAGAATACATGGTTTTAGTTGATGATGAACATGTGGCTGTGTTGTTTGATACTGTATTGCAGATACAGAGGGTATATTTATTGCAGCCTTGATAAGTGAGACTGTGGATGCATATAAATAAAAGCTTGATAAACTTGCAGATCTCATTTTAGAGAACTGTTAGCAATTTTAGAAATCAAAAGCTCTTTCTATTGCAACTGCTTGTAATACAGCAATAAGTTTCTACAGTTTTGAATTTCTAGTAAAGTTCTGAGTTGGTAGCTAAAAGTTTAGTTCCAACTGGTCTGTATCTACTGTTTGGATTGTAACTTTTGTTTGTAGCATTCATGAGTAGTTAAATATGGGTTTAGAAAAATACGAAAAATGGAATTGAACTTTGATCATTAAACTATATTTTAAAGACTGCAAAAGCAAACTATTGTCATCTGTGTTCATTACTTTTATGCTACCATCTTTAACTTAACGTTCTAAAAGCTGGCTTTTGTGCTCAAGTTAACATGTTTATAGACTGTGTTCCTGTCATGCTTACAAAACTATTCCTTAAAAAGAAAAAAAATTGGGGTGAAGAAAAAGCAAGTTGCCAAACCCAAGAGTCTTCAGAACGGAACTCAGGTATTTTCTTAGCATCTTAAAACCAACTTGTTCTATGAGGAAAAAAATAAATGTCAGTTCTTTACTGAAATTAATTGTTCTTGGGGATGGGGCTGTGAAAAATACTGGACAACTGAGTTGCAGAATTCTTCTCATGGGATTTTGGCTTTTTCTGTCATTATCCTCTCCCAAGCAAAAACTTTTTACATTTGCTTTCAACCATAAAACAAAGGAAGTAAGCCTGAAAACAAGTTCAGAGAGGAACTGAAGTTCAGAAATGTTGCAGTTTGAGATACTGATATTTAGGGGTTTTAAAATGGCATTTGAGTCCTGTAGCTGTTCAGATACCCTCAGGTTCTGGGGAAATCTGACTCATTTAGCTTGTGTTTGCAGTTTGTCTCTTTGTGTGTTGATGTGTCTGTCCTCTGTTTAAAAACCTTCTGTGTCAGTGATCTACAGGCAATAATAATGCTGATTTTTTTTTTTTCAATAATGTTCTTACATGCATTTGGAGGATCAAAATATTCTACCTCAAGTAGGAAACATATTTGATCCAAATACTTTGTTTTGACTTTGACAGAGGAACTTAAGAGTTATCCTTTCTGTTTCTTGTTAGTTGAGTCAGTTTTGGTCCTAGCAATCTTTATAAATAACGATGATTTATTCTTTAGGTAATTGGAGTTTTAAGGTATTTACATTTCTGATACTCACTGCACAAACCTTGAGACTGGGAATGGATCTTTAAAGTCTGTGCAGCTCGTGTTAGTGAATTTATTCCAGGTAAGCTCAACATTTGAAATGTTTTGAGTGAACAACCTTCCTGCAAATGTACTGCCCATGGTGGCCTGACAGGCTGGGAGGTGGGTGATATTTTCTTGGAATCTTCAGCTAGTTCTGAATCATGTAACAAAGCAGGAGTTTTGTCATGGTTGTGATGCCCCTTAAATTCTGTAACCCTTTTACTGAGTCATTGATTCATCTTTTGAAATTTAAAATTATAATACTGCCTCTTTTCATTATTTTTGAAGTTAATGCAGCATTTAAGCAGTATGATTCATATTGCTTTGAACTTACTAACCAGTATCCTAATCAGAAAGAGACAGGTAACATTTATTATGGATACTGGTATAGCAGACTGAACTGCAGATTCACTTGCTTATGGTCTTGAGTTTTAGTATCCATTAAAAACTAAATGCTTATAATAAGTTCATCTCCCTGAATTTTTATTTATTATTTTTAGCTTTTATTTAGACAGTGTGCATGCAGACAAGGAAAATCTTCTATGTACCTGCATGGTTTTTGTGATTTTCCTTATGTCTCATGATTTTAATCAACAGGAAACTGAGATGACTTGAGGAAAAAACCATGCTACTGTCAGGTACTATTTCCTGTTCTTGATCTTTGAAGGTACTGGGGGAGGCAAAGTTTAAACTGAATTATTTTATTAAATGGTCTCTGCAGGTGATACTGGGTTTTGGAGAAGACATTCTTGTAAATAGGCTCTGTATTCAGGTTGGTTTATCACAGATGTTTGAAACCCCAGGAAGTGTTACTTTTACAATTCTAGCAAGAGGGATTTCCTCAGAAAGGGGTGCCAGTACCTCTTGTATTTGACACCAGTGCCATGGACAGAGAACCTGCCTTGGGTGTCAGTAATGTTGGTGACAGCTCAGCATAGAGTCAGGAACAGGGGCACGTGTAGTTCCAAATCTGTTTCAAGCATGGGATTGTGTCCTTCTGCTCAGTAAGCTTAGTAATGTAACAAAAAAGACAAAAATGCCTCCTTGCAGATGTTTTCAAACCTCCCACAGTCAACAGGGAACAAAGCACATCATGACCAAGGGACAGGAACAACCCTGAGCTGGGGGTAGGCAGCAAGAGTGTTTGTCTCACAGTCTGGTCAGAACTGCTGTGCAGAACTGCTGCTGCTCCTCATCCTGCACTGCCAGCAGAAGTCAATAATGCATTGCTGGGGACACACTCCTGGGGCTGTGCTGCTCTTCTGCAGGCTTCATATCACTCTTCCAATTCGTCAGAATAAAAACTCTTGGGGGATCCTGGAAGCCTTCCACAGAAGCATAGTTCCTTTGGATTCACTGGCCCTTTGGCAACTTTGCCTTTTTAAAAGTCTAAAAATTCCATCAAGCTTCAGTGAAGGAGTCACATGCTCTTTCGGTGGGGGTACTGTGACTGCAACACATCGGTGAATCGGTGTCTTAGGGATTTGCTCCTCTCTGACACCAGTTCCCAGCGTGTTTGCAGCTTGCATCACTGTAAGTGGATTGTTTTGTAGTTTGTATCCACTTTGCAACAGGAAACTACAGCTATTCAGGCAGCTCTTCAAGCAGCTCTTGAATCCAAGAATCTTGTGATTCTGCTTCTCTCCCGAGTCATTTTGCTGCCTTGATGCAGTTCTGAATTCCTGTGAGGGATGCTGCTGGTTCTTGCTGATTTTGTTTTGTCTTCATTTTGAGATGTGAAGTCCACAGTATCATTGGTTCAATCTAGTGACTGAGTCAAGTCTGCAGTGACAACTGTTGACTGACTTCCAACTTGGAAGTTTAAAGCTCCTTATACTAATCTAGGGTTGAACAAAACAAGGACCACTGCTTTTATCTGTAACAGTGTTTCTTTATGATGTCATGAGAGTTTGTTTATACTATGAAAAATCCTGTCTTGGTGAGAAGGTTGAAATATTGTGTAAGCCTTGTCATGAAGAGTTCAAAATACAATATTCTGACCTCATTAAAAATGTAGCTATGTTAAGTAAAATTAATAAATGAAAAGGCAGCCTGCTGGCAACTGGACTAGTGCTGCAAAAAGTTGTTTTACTTGCAGCTATCTTAGTCACTCCATGGCTTTATACAAGCAGTTACAGTGGATCTTAAAGTCTGTGTGGAATGAAGCAGTGGGGTTCTCAGGGTTGAGTGGACAGTTTACATGTATGGCTGGTATAGCAACAGTTCAGGGATAACCTTTGCTGAAAACTGGAAGCAATTTATTTGTCAGACAACATCCAGGGAGATGATGAATTCTGCTTATTTGGTATATTTTCCTAGGTTTTAATCAAGACAACAATACTCAGGGGTTTCCTCTTGGTTTCAGCACCCAGGAGCTTGTTTTAAAGACTGTATGTGATAATTACAGCTTCAGTCCTAGGTTCTGTGCTCAGTGACTTGTAAACTTTTCCAGTGTTAAGTAAATTTAAACTATAACGTGTATTTCAAAGGGTTATGGTCTTTAGATTTGTCATTCCTGGTAAGTTACTTAAATCAAAAGTTAGATCACTTTTCTTCCAATAGAACAGAATCCCACAAATAGTTAATACCTAACTTAGAGTGATTCGTTACAGTAAATGTTGGCATTTTTAATAAGATTAATATATTTCAGTGAAAAAAAGCAGAAAATATTTTTGAATTTAAATGTGCAGTTCCTTTAATCTAAAATAGTATTATGAATCTTTGGCCTTCTCTAGATGATTCTGAATTTCTCTAGATGCAATCTAAAAATAAAAAGGTGAATTTCCTAACAAAGCCTTAGAAAATAAATTACTGTTCCTTTTTTCTCTATGCATTATCATGGTTTGCATCAGCTGTAATACAGTTACAAGTGACTTGAAATAGTTAATATAAGAGTATTGAGAGCCCTTAAAATTATACTAAATTTTCAGGACCTAAAGAAAAGTTCCATATAGGAAAGAGTGTTGAAAGCCTGTGGCTGTACCAACTGAGGTCATCCTAACACAGGAGGAAAGGATTTTATTTGTTCCCATAAAAAAATGGGAAACAAAGTTTTGTAACTTTTCATATATAATGTTGAAAAAGTCTTTCTTCCCATTTAAAGTGAGGAATATTTCAGTGTCATTTTTTGGTGGTTTTCAAAACCAGTTACCTAAGTTAATTTTAGTGATGTAGATTCTTACCGATTTTTCTGGACAAGAAATTACTACATAAATTTGTTATTACAATGTATTCCGCTATGTTGATGTGTTTTGTTTTTGTTTTTTTTTTCTTTCTCTGGAAGAACATTCCTATAGAAAGGAAATAGGAGCCAGAGTCTGAAATCTAAAATAAGGACTAAACAGCTTTTCATTTGCTTTTCTACCCTTTGAGATGCCAGAAGCAATTTCCTCTTGAAGCTGACTTCCTCTCTGGAAGTGATTTTCGTCTCCAACCATGTTGAGGCTCTTTTCTCATTCTTTCATTCTGACTAACTTGCTTTTTTCCCCTCTGACTTTCCACTGCAGTTGGGAACTTCTGGAGGTAAGTAATGACAGACAAGTTTCTCTCTAACTTTCTTTTTCAGTTCTTCTTCCCCCCCGTCCCGCCCCCCCTCACCCAGTCAGTCTAGAAGGACAAACAAAGCACTATTGGTGTCCTCTGCAAGAGAGCACTGATAGGGGCTGGCTGTAAATTGACGTGGCATGGAAAATCTCTGCTAGTTTGGAGCGGCTCTAATGTTGCTGCGAAATCAAACCTACTCTTAACCAAGTTTGTAGCTTGAAATCATCACGGGCTTACGGGTTCTGTATTAAAAATGAATGGAAAGTACCTTCACTTCTCGCTTTGGGAACTGGATTTTTTCTCTGTTTGGATTTACAGCTAATAGAAAACAAAATCAAAGGGAATTATTTGGTTACTTTTTTTTTTTTTCCCTGTAGTAAGAGCGACAGATCTTGCTGCTCCCCCCACCTTTTCCTGCAACTTAATCATTTGCAGATCTTGCCATGGGGTGCGGACTGAGAAAGCTGGAAGACCCAGATGATAGCAGCCCTGGAAAAATCTTTTCTACACTGAAGAGACCACAAGTTGAAACAAAGACGGATTCTGCTTATGAATATGTATTGCTGGATTTTACTTTAGAAGGTATTTTTTTTTTTTTAATGCTGTATGTTTACTATTCTGAGATAAGGAATGGCATTTAACTTAGCTCTGTCTCGTGTGACTTACAGTAAATCTTAGACACTTTTAGCAAAGCCAGCCAGAATGCAAGACTCTTATTTTGAAACACAAATCATGACGGAGGTCCTCACTTATCTAAAATTACAGTGGAAACTACCGAAGTATTTTTAACAACCAAACCCTCCAAATTACACAACTGTCCTTGTTAAGGAAGCTGGCTAAAACTGTCAGAGATTTTCCTAGTTTCCTGTGAGTCAGATACTGCCATCCGTACTCGCTCGGAATAATGGTTGTCTGAATTCAGTGTGACGGTTCAGAAAATACACTGTGCCTGAACCTTAATTGAATAACAATTTTTTTTAAATGCACTCAACTTCTGAAAACAGGCTGTCATTGTCCTTGTTACTTTATGCAGAAGTAAGTCTGTTCCTTAGTTGTATACTAGGAGTAACTTCCCCTCTTATGCCCACTCCAGACTCTTGGTAGATATTTCTGTAAGGCTCTTAGAGTTTCATCTTACTATTTTTTTTTCCAAGTGCTTTACTTGTAGTTGTTGAATAGTCTTTTGAAATCGTGACTGAAATGAAACAAAATCTGTATGCATAGCTAGAGGCAGACAGTGCTCTGTGGGATACTTCCTTCCCGAGGGTGTCCCATCTCTAACAGAGCAACTCCCTGTTCCACAAAGTTGAAAACATAAACAAGCCCAGATGGCTGCCCTTGGAGAACAGACAGCTCAGTTTTGCAGTCACTTTATAGTAACTTGCATTTTAGAACAGCTCAGTCTACTGGAACTGCTTAATAACAAGGATTTCAAGTAAATGCAGTTGCTAGAAGGGTTTGATAAAAGGAGGAAGTGTAAGTGCAGGTCTTACTGCAATTTCAGGAACTGTTTCATAAACAAAACTTGGCTTCTGCTTAGTTTTACCTCTAAATTAAAGGACTGTGGTAATATTCTATTTAAAATATAAGTATTTTCGTTGAAAATCTGCGAGGTACAGATGAGAATACACATTCTACTAGGTTATAGTACGTGAAATCCAACTGGTTTTGTTGTTCTGTTTATTTACACAAAGTTTCTTCCTGGCTTCTTCCTTTTGAAGAAATAAAACTTGTAGTAGTGGTAACATGCTGGAAATAAAGCTAGGCTGCCTAATGCCTACATGGATTACCTCCTAATCTACTGGTAATAGAAAGGATAACTTGGAGACTGAAGAGCATTTAGTGTTCTTAAATAGCCTGTGTTCTGGATAGCTTTCTTGTGTTTTCAAGTCACAGTTTCAGAAAGTGTTGTGTAAAGGATCTGTTATAAAGGTGGTTGTGACTTTTTTTTAAGTAAAAGCACATCAAACAACTGCAAATAAAGGTGCATCTCTGTTTAAATAACTTAGCAGTAAAGATTCATTCTCTCCTGTTTAGTCTGATATTCAGAAATACTTGGCTTCAGTGGCCTACTGTGGTATTATGAATGTTAAATAAGCAAAATCAGTTTCTGATAGTTGCCTAAATCTTTTTAGGTTTCTGACTGTAAGCAAGTGGATTTGTAAACATTCTGTTGAGTGGTTCTAGCTTTGTGTGTATATGACCTTAAAATATTTTTTGCTTGGAATTTCTTTCCTTTATAGAGGTATGATAATGAATAAAAGAACAGTGTGTATACTGTCTGAGAGGTATTTGTGAATTCTGATTGCTTCTGAAATGTGGGGATTAGCTAAAATATTGTGGAGAATATGTTGGGCTTTCTTTTTTTTTTTCTACCTCAGTCAACTCACTCTTGTACTTGTTGCTACTTGAATGTCCTTTGGCTAAGTGAAACATTAGTGAGATCCCTTTATCACTGCAGACCAAAGTTTTCTGTCAGGTTGTGTTATATCTTCATGACACTCCTTCTGTCTTGCCAATTTGCAAGCAAGGTCTTCCCCTACAAAGATTTCTGTTTGCCTCAGTGATTCATTGCCACTGGTTCTTGCACCATGTAAACCAGAAAATCAGCACTTAATCATCTTTAAGATCCTACAGAAAGCTATGTCCTGCATCAAGATAAAAATATAGCAACCCTGAGTGTGTTAACTTCATTTCAGTCTGCCTTATTCTGTGCTTCATCAGGTATGTGCTGTGTGAAGTGGAAATGAGCCTGCTGGAGAGACTGTCAGCAGTCCCTGATCTTCTCCCAAGCCATGATGCAGATTAGGTCAACCATGCTGCAGCCTAAATTTGCTGGCCAGAGTCCTTGTGCATCTTAACTAGTTATTAGCAGTGCACTGAACCTTGGCTTCTCCCCTCCTGGTCCCCATAAGCGTCCATCCATACTGTAAAAAATTAGCTTTCAGCTTCATGGAGGGTGATCTGCACCAGGAGAATCCCAAGCAAGAAAATTACAGCCCATCTTTTATTTCGGTGGAACTGAGTAGTACAAAGAAAAGGGAGCAGTGGACTCTGAAGTGTAATTTTAAATGCCTGTCAGTGATTGTAAATTCCAAGGTCTTAATCGTGAGGCATATCTCAGTTACAAAAGCAACTACTGTTTTTTCAAGTCATTTCAACTAAAAAGTAGAGATAATTTAAATATTCCCACTGAAGCAGAATGTTTTATGCTTTGTCCACAACCCTCCTGTTAGGGAAAAGGAGGAACATTGATGCACCCTGCTAAGATGACAAGCTGTGAAGTTCTTGTCACTCTGAGTAACAGTATGAATGTGTGTGAAGTAGCTGTTTTGTTGTCATCTTCAGTGTCCTGCATTGGAAGCTTACTGTGGAGCTGACAAGTTAGCTGCAGTTCTGGTATTGGTGAAAGTGTTTTGGCTACCTGTTGATGGCACATCAGGAGGGAAACTTTGTTAATGAAAAGGGGTTAAGACATTTGCAAAATAAGTGATGATCATGTCACATCATTGCTGCTTTCTTGGCTTGTGGGTTGTGGAGCAGTTATTTCTCAGCATGTATGTCTCTAGATTTACTATGAGTGTAATCATGGGATGGAGGTATTGCTGAGGGCAAAATATTGTCCCTTTATGGAAGGGGATGAAAACTTTGGCAAATCTGTGCTGTCATAATTACTCCTCTGTTACTGTCTGTATATGGTATTGATTTCCTGCTCTCTGAGAGCATCTGCAATTCCAGTTGTACTTGAGAGGAACAGGAATTACTGCCCCATTAGACTGACTGCAGCAGAATATACTGTTACCAGCATGGAATGTCCTCTGTGCAAGTGCTGTGGATCAGACAATTCAAAAAAGATTCTCCGAGAAGTTTTCCCTTTATCTGTGCAGTTTTCCCCAAGAGCTGTGTATTACTGAGATGTTGCCTATTGATGCAAAATGCCTGCATGCACTCAGGGATCCTCCACAGAAATTAGACACCACAAGCTTGCTTAGGTGATATGTACTTAGATTTACTGGAAAAAGGAATTGGGACTATATAAAAATACCAACCTACACTCCATGGATGACTTCTGAAGGGAAAAAAACCAGAGAAACAAATTAGTTGTTGCAGGCTTAAATCTGTTATACAGGAACATAGCTCAAAACTAAGGTTGAAGGGTACTGCATCAGTATGTTTAAGGCTTTGGATGGACAAAATAGTTGCTTTGTTAAATTCAGCCCTATTGTGTGTGTAGATGTTAACTGAGCTCTTAAATCAGCTTGGCAAACCTAGATCAAACAGAAAATGTTGCCAAGTACGTTAAAAATAGATCATATGAAGCTGTAAAAGTAGTTACATTCAAGTGGTTGAATACTATTGAATCATTTTTGAATCTGCTTTTTCTTGTATAAATAGAACTATAGCTTTTTAGCAAATGCCTTGGGATGTGTTTTGTGTGGTTTACATAAAAGAAACTCTCCTAAAATGTATGTGGATGTACCACAGGATCACGTGCTTCTCTTCTGCTTTCAATGCTTTTAGCTTCATCAAATCCAGAAGTTATCAAGATCAGTTCTGTGCTGGATATTCCATCTCAGGTGGAAGAATATTACAGCAAAGGATATGTTGTAGGAGCTGTTCATCCTATTATGCTGCCAATTGGAGGTAGAAGGAGTTTCCCTGCAAGTCACATGTATCGAGTGGTACTTTCACGATTAAAATTAAGGTAACAGTGAAATCATTTGAATACACTGATCCATTACTTAAACCATTTGTAAGTGGGTTGCTCAACTTGCATAACTTATTATCAGTTTGAAATGAGTGCCTCAGAGAATCAAATTAACTGTTCCTGGTCTAGAAAGGTGAGCAAGTTAATAATGTTTTTTTAATCAATGCTAAGCATACAACAGGCTGATGTTTACTTTGCCATAGTAAATGTCCAAACAAAAATTCAGAGTGTAATATCATCTGTCTTAGAACCTGCAGCAAATAAAAGATTAACCAAAACAGTAGGAGAGTAATAAGCTGCTTTAAATTACTTTATGTCTGCTTTATCTTTTTCATTTTCAAAACTTTTGTTTTCACTTTTCCCAGGGAAAATGACATGTAATTTGTGAAACAGCTTGTCAGGGAGAGTTTGGGTTTTTTCTTATTAAGAAGGAGATAATCATTCTGTGATCAGAGGTCTTACAGAAGCTTGGTTTTGACACTGAGGGAGATGCAAGAGTTTGTTCCAGATCCGTGGTCTTGTTTATTACTCATGTTTTCACTGCCTTATCATCACCATGTGATCATAAAGAACACAATGTTACCATTAGTTTATTTGAATGTACAGAATATAACCTTTTGTTCTTATTTTGAAAAACTAGAAAAGTGAGGTTCTTACTGCATTAAAAGTTGTTATGCTTCCTCTTCACTCCTGAGTCCTTATGTGAAGGGTTCTTTCATTTATGTGGAGGAGTGGAAGGGTGTAAACTGGAAGCTGCCCCCTGCCACTCCAGCAAGGCTTTTGTAAAACATGTTCATTTGAGGTAACTTCTCAAACCCCTTGCTTAAACAAGCACTGTCCAGGGTATTTGGTGTTCATACAACTTAACCTTTGTAAGTTCATCTGCAGACAAGGTGAATGTCTTTCTTGTGGGCAAAAGCTTGGGTAAGAAAGCAGAATGCTTGCTCTCTGGAGCTGAGGCTTCTAAGAGCTGACACTGCCAGCAGCAGCTCCCACAACTTGCCTTATCCCTCTAGGTGTGGCATCCTTATAAAGTTGTTGTTTGAACCTTTAGGCCTTTGAATAGATGAGTGGAGAGACCCTGTAGCCTACATGTGAAACTCCTGGTGTAGCTTCAGAGCTTGCTAAGGTGCTGTATGTACTTCTGTTGGTTTTGCTGTAGGCAAATACACCTTCTCTGGCTACTGTCTGGAAAGTAACCTTTTATATTTCAGTGGGTCTCATTGATGTTTCTTTTGAATTCAAATGGTTATGTGAAGGAAGCATCAAATAAAATCCCATTATATTATTGATGTACACTAAATCAGACACTAAGTTGTCTGTGTAATAATCCAGCTGGTTTTAGATAAAACATGAGTATTATTCTATAACTTGAAATAGAAGTTAGAGCTTGTCAGCTTCTTAAATTTGAGAGATTTAAACACTGTCTAGCTCTCAGTAATTGTTTGTGCATTGTGTTTCTAGTATTTGTTCTGTTTCATACAACAGCTGCAACTCTGCATTAGTTACAAAAACTAAGCAGCAGCATGTTGAGTGTAAAAGGACCACTTCTATTCATAGTGTTTTGTACAAAACCAAACCTGTTTTGTGCTTACTAAATCTATAGTTTAAATTTGTGGTTTTTGCATTATCAGAGATTTTTGCTGTTTATCAGTAAAGCTCAATTTCCAAAAGATGCCTATGAGTGGCCTTCAGATGAAATTCCTGTTAAATATTAATATTCTTACCATGGCATTGTAACACAAAACCTGTCACTTTGCATAAGAAACAGAACAGGACACTAAAACCCACTGAGTTCTAAAAAGTATGAAGAAGCATTGTCAGGATTTCATAACTGTTTCAAAAGAGAAGAATTCTATATGCAAGCATTTGCCCAAGTTAGCAGCAAACTCCTGACAAAGACTGCTTTCTTTCTGTGTTCTAGCCAGAAGCATGCAGCACCCAGAGGACAAAGGCACCCCAGGCTGCTGATTGAGGAATGTCCTTTAATGTATGAAACACTGACAAATGAGGTAGTGAAAGAACTGTTAGAAAAGGTAATGGAGGCTTTTTCCAACTTTTCTTCAGACTTTTGTTGCTATCATACATGTAAGTTATATTAAGTGGTTGATGTGTTTTTAGTTTTGCATTTATTTCATAGAAGCTACAAAGCTTTTCTGAAAGCGAAAAGAGTTCTTTTTCTTCACTAGTTAATGTTTCTAATGTGGGACTTAGTGTTGATTGCTGTGAAGCTTTGGGAGACTGGCTGGTTACACCATTTAAAGCAGAATCAAGCCCAACTTGATCACTTTTTATAAAATGCTTGTGTGATGTCTGAAGTTTCATGTTATTCCAAGCAAAGTACTTAAGAAAGGGTTTTTCATTCTTTAACAGAACTACAACATGTGCAGTAACTGTATTAAGTATTTACTTGGCACAGCTTTTGAAAACATTGCATAGTTAAAGTAAACTAAAGTTCCACTGGAATGCAAGTTCTAGTTCTGGTTCTTTTTGTGTTTAACTTCCTCTGCAAAACTGAAGACTTGCTGAAACAGGAAACTATTGTTATTACAAGAGTTAATGATATCTCTTACATTAGTTGCCAAGGAAAGTAGTAGAGGAAAAAGCATATTGAAGATCTTTAATCATCTTTGAAGTTATCAGAGTTGCTTAAATTTTCTAAATGGCTTGTTTTGACTTTGGCAGGCATTTCAGTTTTAGTGTGATTCTGTTACATGCTTACACTCTGTGGCTGTTGCCAGGCTGGTGATGTAGTGTACCAGCCAAAGATTAAAAGGAAAAACACACTTGAAATGAGCAGTGATGCAATCGTGGAAGCATATTTGGTACAGAAGTAGTATGGGAGAATAATTTGATTTTAAACTGTTCTCGGTGTTTGGATTTACCTGGGAAAACTTTTCCTCAGAGGGAGCTTGTAGCACAAGATGGCAGTGGGATCACCTTCCTAAATGGCAGCACTCCTTATCCCAGAACAAAAACCAACACCTCCAAGAACAGACACATCTCACAGGTGGCACAGATGTTAGTTGTAGATTGAGACTTCAGTGCAGAGAAAAAGACACACCACTGGCTGAAGGAGTTGAAGAGGATTATTTGCTTCTAGCTCCCTCCTGTCTCTGCTCCTTCAGTATTCTCAGTAATAATGAAGTTGAGTAGCCTCCAAGGGAACTGGGGGGTAATGAATCATGGCACATGACAAAGATATTTCTGTAGTATTGGAGGGCAGTATTTTTAGTATGACTGGTATCACATGTTTAAAGAAACAATACTATTTATCGCTCCACTATAACTGCTTATCTCTGTGACACAGTAAATAAAATACTTTGGGTTTGTTCTAAATGAAGGACTTTGTATGCCCTCAAGCCAGTACTAGTGTTGGCCACCTTTCTTGGCCTGATTCCAGATACATGCTGGAAAACTTCCATTTACTTTGAAGCATGAGGAGTGTCAAAGACAAACCACCCTTCCATAGTACCCTTCTATGTCTTCATGTCCTCAGCAGTTCAGTTAAACAGAACACGCATATAGAAGTTTTAAAGAAGTTCCATGCAATTCTAAAATGACTCTGCAGCTAAATTTCTGTTGTGTTACAGGTTAACGAAGCTGCTAAAAGAGGAAAGAAGTTTGTGGGATTTGTAATGCAACATTTTCCTCAGCCTAAAGCCTGTAATGGAACAAGCACAGATGGAAGTGCAGAGCTGGAAGCAACACTGGGCAGAAGAAACAGGGAACACAGGAGAGAAAACTTTGATGAAAACTATAAAAACTGGAATGAGGGGACATTGAGTGGTCACTCATCTGAGAGTGGGATAGAGGAGGAAATGCAAGGAGAAAGCAGACTGTTAGAGGATTCAGACTTCCAGTTTGGAAAAGAAGTCAACCCTTCTAAACCACGGAAAGGAGATGGTAATAAATGTTGCTTGTTTATTGTAGAAATAAGGTGTTCTATTGAGCTGCTAAGGTGTTGGAAAAAATAGAACATGCTGTTCTGTCAAATACTGGCTTTGGATGATGCCTCTATATCTGCATATATAAATGCATATGCATTTCTAAAGAAGTTGCCAGTTGAAGAAGCAAAATAAATATTTACCTTCTGCTTTCTGTATGTGAGCTGTGGTAATATATTAAAATGATACTTCAGTGTTCATATAGAATATTATAAATGTACTGCCAAAATTCTAGTTTGTAATTTAAATAAAAAGGGAAACCCACGAACCACCACCCCCCAGAATTGCCCACAGTGTAATTCTGACTTGAAATGTGGTGCAAGCAGGTAGCTTGTTTGCTTGGCATGTGTACAACAAATGTGGCAGTAAAAATCTTTTCTCTTAGAAGGATGCAATTGTTATAAAACCTTTTTCCTAAATGCATATTGTTTTCACTTAATATTAAATCATAAACATTTCCAAGAATACGTCGTGATTCCAGTTGTGCCTGTTTGAAAGCTGACAACAGAGAGAGCCCCTTCCAGCCAGAGCTGTAATTTTACATGCTTCTAACCAACTCACATAATGTACAGCAGCCAAATCCGTTCATAATGGATTCTTTCTGGTTAATGTGCCTTCAGGAAGCACCCTGAAAGAGATCACTTAAAATAATGCATTGACCATGAAATCAAAGACGATCATTGCTACAAAATGAATTTACTAGAGAAAAGTAAGCATTAGAAGTATAGGAAGAGAAAGCATAATTGAAAAATGTTGGTGCAGAGGTAGACAACTTAGTTGTAGAAGAGTCTGAGATGCTTAGTGTAGTCTGTGTGAAAGATTGCCTCAGAGTCTTCCAGGCTCCAAAGAGGAGAAGGTGGAAAGGAAGAAGTAATCTGAAACATGAGAACTAACAGAAGACAGTGTTGTGTGGAAAGCAGGCAGCATGAAACTTCCATGTCAGGCTGCATTTTGACATAATAGGTTCTTCCCTGATGGGCCAGAATGTGTTTTAATTGCTCTCAAAAGCAACCTTTTCACCTTCCTGTTAAAAGTAAAGCAACCTCTCCAGTTTGTAGGCTGTCAGAAGAATGACTGTGCACTGAGATGATCAATGTCCTTCTTATTTTTAATGCTTCAGTAAAAACAGTTCTACAAGTGAGCCTTTATAGCAAAATCTCTTAAAGCTCAACTCTTTCCTTACATCTTGAAACAGTGGGTTTGGTATATGTGACAGAATAGAAGTCCCACAAAGAAAAAGCAGAAAACTGGTTCTGTTCAGGAGTGTTGTTTGTGCAGACTGGTGTGAGCAGGTAGATGAGCAACCAGTGCATCCCCCATGTGCAGTGCTCTCAGGAAACTTTTCAAAAAGCTTTAGAGGGGATGTGCCAGGCTCCTCTATACTAGTCAAATATTAGTCACTGGAGCTCGTAAGGCAGAACTTTTGGAAACTTAACCTTTCTTGGAATATGTTGTATGTAACCATCATTTTAAAAAAGTACTGATGTGAATTTTGAAAGGAAGTCTTAGGAGTGTGTATGTATGTACTGCCGTGTCAATATGCCAGTTCCATTTACCTCTGCTCTGAAGAGGCAGATTGTCCAAGTTCTAGATTTGGGGGTCATAACATATGAATTTTTACTATTACATTGCTTTTTGATTTATTCTGTCAAATTTTGACTTATATATTGCTTCTGGAGGCAAACAACTGAATAGTTGTATTGGAAAACAGTTTTCTTTTCTTGGAAGCATAAGTGGTCTCACTTTGGTATATGGGAAAGGAAATTAAGGGTTATCAGGATAAATGCATTTATACTGATATAACCACCTGTGGAGGGGATAAAATAAAACTGTATACTAGAATGACTAGAAAGAGTCATTCTTACTGAAAGTTGAGAATTTTGGTATGAAATTACCTTATTCTTGGTAAAGATTATGTCATTTGCAGTGGGTGTGGTAACACTTCTCAGAACAGAGGGGTTCTTCCAGATGCTGATTCAGATTACTTGCACTACAAAGCCTACTTTGGAAATCTCTCTCTGTTTCTGGAGCCTAGAGAGACTAACTTCTTATTTGGGGTCACCTAAGCCAAGTTCCTTTGTTTTGGCAGTGTGAATACTTCCATGTTTAGAGGTTGGTTTTTATTGATTTAAGCTACTCAGCAGTATTAGACCATCTGAGAACATTTTTGGGCAACTAGTTTGTGTTATTTCTCCACAGCAGTGAAACACATGAGTGTATTTGTGGAACACCTCTAAATAGCTAGGACTTGATAACTTGCACCAGTGATTTCCTGAAATGCTGTGGATCTGTGAATTTTAATCTTTCAATATTTGTTTGAATGTTTTTGTATCAGCAGTGTATTAATACCTACATATAAAATGATTTGAGTAGATGTAGGTTTTGTTTACTTAACTTGCATGATCACCAGTAACTACTGAGAAACCCCAGTAGGCAATTAATATTATATATAAATAATCTTCAGAAAATAATGGGTAAAATTGATACAGTACAAGACATTCCTTATGTTTACAAATGTAAAAAATTGTCATTGGTTATTAGAATTTCAAATATTTGTAGCCAGAAGTTTTATGAGTGGCAGAAATGAAGCCTCTTTCCACTAGGTTCTTCTTAGCTCTTGTATATTTTCTTTATGCAAAACCCACCTACCTAGAGGGTCCAGTGGCAGCCCAAGTGTAGTAAGTTCACATTTTCCTTGTTATCCCAAAGCATCCTTCCCCTCACACCTTGTTCTGAGTGTGTTTAGGTCTGTTAAACAGAGTACAGGCACATCAGGAAACAATTATTAAAGCTGCTGCTTAGAATTAGAAAACTACCTTGAAATAAGAGATTAGTAATATTATTAATTTTGGAGCACTGTCTTTGAGAGGTTCACTTTTCTTCCTTTCTCTTTTGTCAGACAAGCTGTTTACAGTCTTCAATGTTTTTGATGATGATTCCACCTGCTGGACCTATCATGAAGGTGTTTTGTCTATGAAAGTAACAAGGAAGGGGCCAGTTGTTAGTACTCTGGAAGCAGACTGGCTAGAATTAACTACATTTTATTATAAACAAGGATTGTCCTTAGTTGATTCTTTCGTGCACTGGGAATCTTCTAAAGGTGAGTAAAGTCCCAGAATATAATAAAGCTTTTACTTGTTTATGTAGAACTGCATGGCTTGGAAAAAAGTAAGATGTTTTGTTTCTTGGTATGGAGATCAATATGTAAACATGTTGAGATAGTATATTGTAACTTTGTAGAATCTGATACCTAAAAGGGGAATAATTTGTCTTCTGGCCAATTAGAGATTGAAGTAATTGAAATTTCTGTTTTGATGTATCAAATTGAAAATTTCCAAAGCAGGAAACTAGCATAGTGATAAAACAAAATAAACTTTAGTTTGGTTTTGGTTTCTTTGAATGAAAAGGTAATGGCAGGGGGGAGATCATTAGATGGATGTTCCTGTTTTGCTGCTCTGTGGATACTGTGTTGCACTCTAAATATTCTGATGAGACAAAAGAGCACCTTGAGTTCTCATTAACCTTATTGTACTATTAAACCCAGGTTAGACTTTCCATGCTTCCTACTTTCTTCAGCTCTCTGCTGGACTTAAAAATTCTTTCCAAACCACCAAACTGCATTAAAATTTGCTGTTCTGGTCAGATGTGAACACATGTAGGGAGTAGAGAAACTCGTTTCTGTCCTTGCACTCAACTGTAGGCAAATCCTCCAGGACTTGTTCACACAGCTGGGAGAGAGGTCTTCCCTGATCCCTGCTTATTCCTGTGCTCTTCTGCAGGAATCTGCCAGCTCAGTTGACAGTCATATTGATATAATAGAGCAATTAAAATGATAGACCTCTGTGCCACAGCATCTTCAGATTTACTTCATTCTGCCAGTTTTAGTGTGATACCCAGTTTTTTTCTGGAGAGATCCTACCAGCTCCTTGAGTTCCTAGCCTTCATCCTCCTGATTAACAGATGCAAGCCTGTCAGTAGTGCCACTGCTGGCCTGGGCCCCTGCACACCATGCTGAGCCCAAAATCCTGCCTTTTGGCAGAGCTGTGGGTCAGTGCTGTACCACTGGTGACAACAGAAGCAGCTCTTTGCTGGCCAGAGTATCTAGAGCTGTAAAACTGTTGCTGGTAAGATACATAATTTAGAGATTCTATTTCTATTTGAACTGAATTTGTCTGAAAGCCAGAAATTTAAGTGTTGCAAAAAGTATTAGGAAGCTACTCACTGTTGCACAATTGCTTGAAAAAAAACTGGAAGAAAATAGTAGTACCCTAGTGTTAGGGGTACAGATACAAGGCAAACTGACCTGGTTAATAAATTCTGAAACTATTAACTGCTATCAAACAACATTTGTTAAAATAAACCTAGACTTTATACTTCTCCAGGGTGATACTTTGGTTGAATTTGTACATGTCTTGCTAGTACTAAGTTGCAAGTTGTTGGTGTTCCAATTATGGTGATTAATTATGGCAGTCCAGTATAAGCAGGCAAAATAAAGGGCTGCAGTGGAGGAAAGTCTTGTAAAACGTTGGTTGTAAAGGTTTCAGGGCCCTTAAACAGTTTTTGCAATGCTCAGGCTGATTATCAAGAGCATTAGATAATCAATTGTCAAAGTTGCTTTCATAAGTCATTTTGTCTGCCTCTTATATGAATTATACAAGGAGGGCAAAATTACTAGGACTTTGAGTAGTTGTTATATGTATTGTCTTATGCTTTTTTCTGCTAATCCTGGTTTAAAATAATATGCACTCAACATCTCCTTTGCAAGGCAGAGCTTAAATAAAAAAAAGTAAAACATAATCTTTAAAAGTTGGATTATGTGGGTTCTTCAAAAGCAAAACCCTGACAACAATGACAACTCCTCAGTTTTCAGTGTTCTCTGTAGTTTGGAGTGTGAATCACTGCATTTCTAAAGCTCTGCAATAACATAAATTTAATGACTGTCAGAGGCACATAACCTCATCAACAGATTTACCTCAGATGGAATTTGGCGGCTAGTCCCTCCCAAACTGCAGATTTTATGCACATAAACAGTCTAACTATGCAGTCTGTAGTAGTCATCTTTTTTGCTCTGAAATTATTATTCCTGTTTATTCAAGTCAGTGGAAGAAGAAAATTTCCTTGGGGGGAAGAGAGGTGAGAATTCAGACTCCTAGTTTTCAATACAGACATTTTATTTTTTTTTTAGTGCTGGAAAAGAACCCTCTGGAGATCTGTTACAGTTCACTGAGGGCTGGTTTTGGCAGCTGTTGAAATTAATCTTTGCAGCTGTTGTCCAACAAGTTTTACAGTCTTCCCATTCCTCACATAGAGAAGATCTGTCTGCTCCTCTCTGTCTGAAGAACTACCCCACCTTTAATACCCAGGCAATAACATACCTCATCCAGTATTGGAGAGGATTTAAATCTGCTATTCTGAGGATTACATCATTTTAATGTCTGAGTTTGGTTTAAATTCAAGTTAGTCAGCTGTCAGGGTACATCTCCACAAAAGGCTTCCTGAAGGCTCTTGGGAGAAGCAAAACCAGAAAATGAACCAATATTTGATGCACAGCTTTAGTTTGGCCCAGCCGGATGCTGTCGGGCTTTGACGTGTGAGTCAGGGAGTCGGGCTCTGAAACTTCCTTCCCATCAGGAATCTTCTTACAATTACTTGCGTTTCAGGCTCTTCCTGTGGCCATTTATGTTTTTAAGCAGCAATAGTTTGGCTTTGCACGTCATGGTTCACTTATCTCTGTTCCCTGCCACCACACCAGAAGCCACAGTTTGTCAGGCAGATGATAGTGAGGTTGAGTGAAGAGGGTTTGTGCCCATCCTCTGCAGGAGATAGGTTGAATACAGGAAACTGGAATTCAGATTGGAGCATGGAAGGGGTTAATGCTTTTGAGAAAATTGAATTGTTCAGAGTTCAATTTGTGTAGAAAAAAAGAGATTTGAGTATTAAGTTGACTTGCATACTCCAAGTTGTAATTAGATGCAGAAATAACCACAAATTTGAGTTTGCTAACTCATTTAATTTTATTTTAGAGGACTGTTCAATGAGGAGGGGGGAAAAACATCCTGTATATACCTCTTGATAGTGTCTCAACCTAAAACTTTGTTTCTGTTTCTGTTCACAGGGGACTATTTGCCCAAATCTTTAGAGGGATTATTTATCTATGAAGAAGAAGGTGCTGGGGTTCCAGGTTCTAGCAGGAAAGGAAATGATGCAATAGTTGTTGAACAATGGACAGTCATTGAGGTAAATTGGTGATTATTTAGCAATGCTGTTTCCTACTTTTATTTTTCTTGGTTTTTCCTTAGGGTGCTTGTACCAGTATTAGATAAATGTTCAGGATGGTTTCCTGAAGCCACTTTCATAGGCTAAACTCAAGCCTTGAATCATAAAAATAAAGTCATGTCTGTGGCCATTGATAAGTGTACATAAAAGAAATATGCTGGAGGGATTCTGGCCTGCCATTTACAAAGGGTCATACCAACAAATACAACTGCCAAAGAAAATGTTCTGGGATTTTTTTGTATGTGTTTCAGACCAATTTTAGATAGAATTCCAACAAGTGCAGGTCACACTGACAATGTGAAGTGTTTTTAAATAAGAAGGGGAAGAAGATAGCTAGAACTAGAAACAGGAGGAAAATTATAATGAATTAATTGTGGCTTTCAGATGTGTATTTTTATTAAAATGTTACTGCTAAATATGAAATACTTGGATTTTCCTAATAACTGTAGTATGCTACAGCAATAAAATTATTTTAAAAAATATTTTAATGTTATAGGATTATTGCATCAATGACATCTGAAATTAGTCATTGTTGGAGGATATTAAGGGCTTACTTTTGAAATATCCAATGATAAATATGTTTACCAATGTGAAAAGAATTAACATAAAGCTTGTATGTTAAAAAAACCCAAACAAAAAAACCTCACCAAAATCTTAATTTTAGTGCTAGGTGAGATGCTTATTCTTCGTATCTAAAGTAAAAACAAATACATAATTGACACCTAATATGGTGTTTAAAGTTTTGGCACTAGTTTAGCAAAGTGACAAACTGGACAAATGAGATGTGCTTTGTTGCTGAATCAGGGCTCATATCTGATGTTAATAAATTGCTTTCTTTGGGTTTTGTAGTTGTGATTTTTCAGGTTGTTTTCAGTTTGAAGTAGTGAATCTCCACCAAACAACAGTTGATCATCTCAAAGGCTCGTCCCACTAAAAGTGAGAGAGGAGTTGTAGTTGTGTAGAAATGTGAATAAAATCTGTACAGAGTCTCTTTACTACTTTTTATAATTATTAATGTAGGGGTGTGAAATTAAAACAGATTATGGACCTTTATTGCACACGCTGGCTGAGTTTGGATGGCTCCTGACCTGTGTCCTGCCCACACCCATCGTACGACATGACAGGTACCCACACTACAGATTGCAGCATTTTTGGTGTACATGTCTGAGAATTATCAAGTCATTACTTGCATCCTGAAATGTAAAAAGAAGGGAAATGCTAATGTTAAATGCATATAAAACTTGAGATATAACTACCATTATTGTTGAGTCTTCTCCTGTGGTGTTTTAGGTCTCCTGGTTTCAGTGAGTCTAATTCTAGACTTAAAACACATTGTGTAAATCTAAACATTAAAAGATTTTTATTTAGTAAACTTTTAACCACATACTCAGTCCCCAGCAATGGGGTTACTCGTGCACTTCAAGTTTGTGAAACATTGAATTGTTTCACTAGTTTAGGACCTTGGTGAGTGACTAGTTTAGGTAATGGAAGAAGTCATGTCACAAGACAGTCATGCACTATTTATTGCACATTAGAGTGGGATGTGCTGATTCAGCAAGTTATTGGGCTGTTGCTCTTCTTTAATGTAGACATTATGGTTCACTTCAAATATTGTACCAAACTACTGGATTTCAGTTTTCTGGTTGTTGTACTTATTTAGATGATTGAGGGGACTCTGTCTGCTCTTTAAGAAGAGCCAAATGGCCCACCTTAATCCTCCACAAGGTTCTAGACTTCTTTTTTTAACCCACCCCAAAAGTACTGTGCTTTTCAGCAGAGTATCAAGTTAAAAAAATGGCAAATGAAGCAGTGGATTAAGCACTCTTAATGCCCCTCTTCTCTCTCATCTTTTCTTAAAAGTTTTTCTTCCATTAGATTAAGATTGCCAAGCTTTGAAAACAAACAAATGTGCTGAGGCACAGCTTAGGGCTCACTACCAACTGTGGAAAGAGTGGATGACTTGAGAAATCTTTGGATCCCAGACCTCACTGTGTTAAATCAAGACAGCATGAAAAAGATGTGAATGAAAGTTTCTAAGAAAACTCCTGCAAGAAAGTGGGAGTTTTGTTCAAGTGATTTGACATCATTAAATCAACTCATGCATGTGAGAAGGAGGCTTTTCTGATCAGGAAATGGGTGTTGGGGTTTTTTGGCTGTGGTGGTTTGTTTTTGGTTTTTTTTAATAGTTGATTTTAACCAAGTGGTTAAATGCAAAGACAAGAAGTGGTAAAGCAGTATGGCATGTTCTGTGGAATTTTTTTTCTTTTTTTTAATGAGGGCCTCTGTATGTTTTCTTTTCTTCTAGAAGAAGCAGTTTCCAGAATACAAACCAAAATGGTTCTCCTTTAATTTCTTCAGTAACTTTGCACTCTAAACGTTTTAGCTTTGAACGTGGTGACTTGTAAGAGTATGTGAACTACTGAGCCTGGCTTTTGTAAACAGCTGAAATTTTTGGCCAAATCTTAGAGCTTGACAGTAAGTCTTCACAATGTGAATCTAATCTTTGAAGGATGTCAGTGGACAATGGGAGAGAGATTTTAGTAGTCATGGTGTGCTGTGAGTCATAGAATGAGGGACTTTTTAACCTACAAACTCTTGTGTCCCACAGGCAGTGTAACTGAACCCATCCCTGCAGGGTTTGGATGAGCAGGGTCAGGAATGTCCTGAGCAGCTGCTGATCAACCACTCTGAGTGTCAGTCTGTGCCTGCAGCAGATGAATGGTGCTGCTTTGTACCTCACAGATTGCAGAGCAAAGGCAGGGCCCATAGAAAAAATCCAAGTGTTAAATAAAAAAAAAAAAAATAGGAAAAAGGGCTAACAGCTTGATTAGGCTAGAGCTGTTTAGTGTTTGAATTAGTAAGAACATGTACCAACCAGCAAAATATTAGTGTAAGATTTCTCGAGTAGTGTTGCATCCTAGATGTGAAACAACCAGCCCGTTAATAGCAGTGTTCATGCTAAAGGAGATTATCTCCTGGCCAAATCTGAAGCTGGATTCATTTTGTATCCACACTCAGATAATTCAGATAATAAAAAACATTTGTTTTCTGGTCTAAATGGTTGGGTAGGAGTCTGCCTGAATTGTCTAATACTTGTTATCCCACTGTGGCATGTGAGTTACTCTTGGAAGAAAGGGGATGAATCATGTTTTGTGTGGCTGTAGTATATCTCATATACAGCTATTCAGTTTTATTTAAAAAAAAAAAACTTGAAAAAGCCCATGAAAAAGAATTCCTAATTAGGAATTGAGAATTCATGAGTTGGAAAATTAACATCTTCCTGTCCTCGTGGGCTAAGTAGCAATTGATAACTGCTATTTTTAGGCATTGATGTTGGCATTTAAAGAGAAGAAATTCTTGGATGGTTACTGTGTGTCTGATATGAAAGATGCCATTACAGTGGTGGTGGTGATGGGTTATCCTAGGAATGCAAGTTAAATGTCTCAATAAAGAAGGATATTTTATGCTGCTCAACAGCTGGGGTTTTTTGCCAGACTTGGAACTCTGTCCTCAAAACCCAGCCTGAATATTAACAGTCTTCAGAAACACTGAAAAAATAAAATAAGCAACATTTTGAGATCATCTGACAAATTCATGCTTTCATATTTATTTTTATAAAAGAATTTGTGCACAGTATTTAGATAAAATCTTCATTATCCTCATTTTTACTCACTGCAGTAGTTTGCTGTATTCTGTTTTCCTCTTATTTATTGCAAAACTTTCCATCAATTCAGATCTTCTGTGATCTTTTCCTAGACATTGTGCCCCATCTGCTTGTCTGCAGCTGAAGAGTGTGACCAGCTGAGGTGTGACAGGATTGCCATGCACTGATGTGTTCCTTTTCAGGCTTTTGCAGGGTTAGGATTTAAAACAGTTCAAAAAAACACTAGGCTGTCATATCTGTTCCTGTGTGGTTCTGTTGTTGTTTAAAGTTTTTCATTTTTCCACAGACATATAAAGTAAAAAACTAAATAAATAAATATACAAATAAAAATAAATATAAAATAAAATGCCCAGAGCATTAAGCTGATGTGGTAGCTGAATGTCACACATCACTGTCCTGTTTCAGGCAGGGGCAGTACTCTGTACACCTGTTTAGTCTTTCAATTCCTACCTCAATGGCTAAATCATGTTGGATGCAGGAAACATTTCCCTGAAAAGCTCTTTACTGTTACAAAGACAGTGTACATGTCATTCTTGAAACACTCACAGTGGCCAGTTTGTGCAGTGTTGTTTGAAAAATAAGTACTGTGGGTCTTGGGTTTGTTTTTTGGTCAGCACAGTAGAGATTGCATAGAAGTTGCCCTCTCCTGACAGTGATTCTTTTTTTTACTCTGGGGATATGAGAAAGCTGAGCATGTAAAAAAAAAAAATGCATATGATGCAACATTTGTTGTGTCCATCCATGTCTTGGGTATTTAAACTGTGCCAGCAGTCAATAAAGAACTTTGGAGACTAAAAAAAGCAGACCATAAAAGAATACCTGATAGATCCACAATAATATTAGTGATCTAAAGAGCCCCCTGTATTATATGCAAGTCTTACTTAATTGGTAAATGTCTTCAAAACAAGAATTTGGTAGTAATTATGCCCAGTTCAGATAAATAGCAAGAATAAAATGAATAGTCCTTTTAGGAGTTAAATCTAGTGAGTGTCTAGGAGAACTTTGCTGGTAAATGTAGTGCTCCTGCAGTTTTTATTATGATATTATAGGAGTTTGTAAAATTTCATACATGTTAGAAAATTGGAATTATTTTAAGGTTTTTCAAATGTTTCATTAAATGGATCCTTTAAGCTTAGTATCTCAAGCTGGTGTCAGTCTCATGACTGAAAGTTTAGGTGCTGTGTGGCTCCAAAGGAGTGCAAAGCTTTATTTTGAGAAATGTGAAAAAAACCCCAACTAAATAGATGAAAAGAATTTATTATCTTATTCCTTTTGTTCATTTTTAGAAAACTTTGTTTAACCTCTGTTTGCAGTGCTTTGTAAATAACATGTTCGTGCATAAAAAAAAATGGATCTGTAAAAAATCAGAGCCATTGGAGTATTACTGAGCTTCTAGCTTGATGTTTGCTTTTGGGGACAGAAATATAGACATGTAAGAGGACAAATTTCTTTGCTCATCCAGCATAAGCAGACAAGTAAATTGCTGAAGTTTCAACAAAAGAGTCTCTGTTGCTCTTGATCACTCTTGAGAGAGGAAAAAGCTTCAGCAGCCTGACTCTGCTGTGACCTTTATTTCCCTCCACTGATTACTGCAGTCCCTGAAAATGGACAAGGCAGACTCTGAGCAGTGCAGTGCAAAAAGCTGACTTTGGTTATTAATTTATCACGGCTCACTACTTAATCAGTGTTTTCAAAATGCCCTGACTTACAGGCAAAGAGGGAATGTGGAAATGTGAGGGAAGCTGTGGAGCTTCCCTTGCTGTAAGCACTTTTTCTCATTTAAATTCTGCGGAAATCCCACTGTCAGTGAGTTCTTTGTGAATTAAGCTCATAGCAGCTTTGTCGTGTGTGGCATTTTAATAAGGTCAGACTTAGAAGATTGTTAATTTACTTATTGTCTGCTCACCATCGTGTCCATTCTCTGTTCCAGTAGAATTTGTACAAGCTGTAGCTTAATGTTTGGGGTTTTTTCTTGTCTCTGAAGGAATGCAGACACTGTTACAAAATAAGCCATAGGCTCTTCCCCATGCTCCGGACTGCGCTCAGCCTTCTTGCTTAGAAGAGAGATTTCCCAGTTGATATTATCAAAACAGACATGACTGAGGCAGGGAGAATACCTAACCAAGTGGAATGAGGTTGCAGGATTGCAGGCTTACTTGTAGTGACTTAAAATCTTGACAGGTTTTCTTTTAATGAGTGCAAATAGTGAGGCAGAGACTCTTGGAGCAGGAAACCTTGTTAGTTTAAGGAAATGAGTGAATTTGCTCTCCTGCATTTTTGTGTTCCCCACTAGCTGGAGATTAGGATAGTTCTCTGTTCTCATCCAAGGAAGACATGCAAAGATATGCCATGACCTGAGTTCAGCTGGACTGAAAGGAAGATTGGGAGGGGCCAAACACAACCACAAACCCATCATCACCAGCTATTGATCTGAGTACATGTGTACTGAGTAGCTGTTTATACTGGGAACTCTTCCTGAGCTCATAGGGACAGTTTTAGTCCCTGATTTTTCTTGGAGTAAGTCCCTAATGTTAAATAAATTCTCAGTCCTAGCCCTGTCATGAAACACGCATCAGTTACCTGAACTTGGTGTGTGATTGTTGACCTTGTGACACACTCATGGTGAAGTAAAAGCCTGTGTTTTTTAGTAGTTCTTTCTGTAATGTTATGCATAATAATACTGTTTTATGATTGATAGAATAGGTACAATCATAAATATTTCAGATGAACTCACTGTGTCTCTTTGGTGTTTCCATTTTGCTACTTGGCTTTAGTGCACTCTTAAATCTCAAGTCACCCTTTTAGTGAAGCATTTCAGTGTTTTTCCTTTATATACATAAAACTCTTGCTGAATACTGCCCAGAAGCAGGAGTTGGGGAGAGAAGAGCTTATAAAAATGTAGTATCTGATATTTAGAAGAGCACTGGAATTTTTTAAACTCTTATTCTGGAGTTCTGGTCTTGAAATTCTTGCACTTTTTCATTGACACAGAGTTGGGCTTTGTAGTACATATGCTATCAATGTGGTGACCAGTATTTCTGGTGGAAAGGTTATGAAAATACATCTTCTGCAAGTTTTAATGTATTTATCACTACTAAGAGTGTAATACTTCTGAAACATCATATCAGTAATATCTGATTAGGTCTTGAAGAAAAACTTCACCTCATCATGTTTATTATTCTACAAGTATTTCCTTCTGGAAAAAGAAAAGGCACCTGTGCTGCTTTATATGTGTACCATAACAGTATTGAAATCTGTAAAAGTTCCAGGACTGAAGTTGCTTTTTTTTTTCCCTTTATTTATCTTAATAAAATATTCTCTAGTCCTTCCTAGGCTCCCTCATACAAAACAGCCAGTGTCATTTATCTCATTTTTGATGTAGAGCTTATTAAAACTGAGCCAAGTCCTTTTATCCATAGGTGAGGAGACAGCAAGCTTAACCCTCTGTGCCAATTAGATATGTTACAACCAGAAAACAACTTTTATTTAGCAGTAAAGAATGGCAATTCCCAAGTTTCATGCCACAAAGTATTGAGATATTTGTTGAAGCTGTGGATCTATTGAGGTTGGGCCTGGTTGTTGTGGCATTAATAGGTAGTACATGTTAAATAACTCCAGTCATAGTAATACAAGTTATTGGTCTGTCCATATTTTTATGTGTATCACCTTAACCCAGCTCTGTGCTTCTATTTTTTTTTTTAATATGTTTACAGAACTGTTCAGGAATTAATAAACTGGTTAATGCTTTGTAGTCTGCCCTCTTCTTACTCATGGACTTAAATATGCACAACTTAAAGTTGACTTTAAAAGGTATGAATGTGTTAGGGACAATTATTGCTATTAAAACATTGAAACTGTTTTCTTTACATTTTAGTGAAGGAAATCTCGCTACAAAGCAAGTAATTTTTCTTCAGAGACCTGTTATGTGGAGTTCTGCTGTCCAGACACCAGAGGTGAGTAACTTGTTTATGGTATTAATATAAAAAAATTAGTACTTCACATAATGGTAAGATATAGAAGCAAACTAGACTTCTCAATTAATAGGGGAAAAAAATGGTAGAACAGGATTTCACTTATTACCAGTTCAAGTTTGTGAAGGGCTTTTGCTGAACTCACCTGTTATTTGTTTTCTCAGACATTATCTCTTGAGTTAAGCCATGGAGAAAAGCATAAGCATGCTAAAAACGTGTTGTTCTAAGAAATTACTGTGTCTCAGGTAGAAGTTTCTGTGTTGGAAGTATTTTCTTTGGAGTCTTTAGGAATTCTTGAGTGTTCTGATTGAAATCCTGTATCTAATGCACATGAAAAAGAAAAGTGTTTTGATCTCCAAAATATCTACTTTCACACTTTTAAAAGAAACAAGTGTCAAGCTGTTCGAGGGATACATCAGTCTGCAGGTTAACAGGGTGAAGACACTTGTTGCATGAAAATGTGTGACAGGGTTTAAAACTCTGCTCCTGAACCTCCTCACCTTCTTGTCCCTTTTGAGGGAAGCTCCCGTAACAGAGGTTGTATCAAGTGCTTTTTGAGGGTTAAGTAACTCAGTCACCACACTCTGCTCGGTGTCGAAGCAGTTACTGCACCTGCAGTAAATCCTGCTGTGCCAGCGAGGGATGAACTGCTGATGGGCTTTTCTTTGCTGCAGCTTTTGACATCCCATGGTGGTTATTTCTGGATTTCAATAGCTCTTCCACCTTTCTCTATTCAACATGGCTTTCCTGTAGTAGTCTTAAGCTATGAATGTTTTCACTCATGTCCAGCACCAAACTTTACAAACTTTACAAACTGTTATAAGGCAGTGATACCTAGCTGCTTCTTTGTCCTGTATAAATAGTTCTGTGAATCTTTAAACTTCATTCATATTTGATCTGTCCTTTACTTTCTCTTCAGTCTTATTACCGTCATCTGTGTTTTCCTCTGTTTAGTGTTTCTAAAATATGCTCTTCCTTTTTTTGTTCTTCTCCAAGCTTTTGCTTATCTCCAGTCTAACTTCCCTCTCACTGTGTCCCCTGATAATTAGTACTTCCATGCCTGGAAGAACTGCTTTCAACATGCACGATTCAAGTCCTGTTTTATTTTTTTGTCTCAGTTCCCATCTAGTTCTTGAACACTGTAATTTGTTTTCTCATTTACTTAAATGGAGCTTCTCTTTCTTCTCTTCAATGTTCTGTGTAGTCTTCCTTGCTGGTGTCTTAATCTTCTCTTCCATTCATACCCTCTTCTAAATTCTGCCAGTGGAATTTTTTGTGCTTTAACCACCTTCTGTGTACAAAGCATCTTCAGCTTTTAGGTTTCAGATCTTCTTCTCTCATGCCTGACTTTGTGGTCTTTCATTCCTAATGTGTTTCTGTTTTTGGAACACAGTTTTTGATACCAGTATTGTAAAAATATGGAACATAATGTCAGTGCTTATAAAACAAAATAATGCTTTCCTACATTTTTAATACTCTATATAGTAAAGGCATGAACTCCTGATATGAGAACTCTTCCCTTGGTAAGACATAATGTTATTTCTAACTATAAGTGTCTCTTAAAAGGCAGCATCATTATCTGTCACAAGTTAGAATGGTTAAGACTCAGTTCTGTCAGGAGATGTAGTACAAACCAGTGCTGTAAAAACAGTCTGAGGAACTGATGAGTCTTTGAGACATGGTTTAAATTAAAAATAGGAAGCATCGTACTCACAGTTTAAATCCTGTCACTCAGTTATGAGGTGATGAGCAGCTTTGGTTTATACAAATAAAATGGTGTGGTTTGTAGTTCTTCTTTTATTTGTTGTAATAGGAAACCTTTGACTTTGGAAGTAAACAAGAAGTAGCTGATGTGTAGCCATTTACATCAGGATTTCTGTGTTTAAAATCTGAACAAACTTAATATCTAAATGTGCTCTTTAAGTACCAGTGAATGTTTTACTTCTCCACCAGGAAATTTCAATATGATGAGGTCATTTTAGCATGGGATAAATAGGTAACTGGGGCTGAAGTTGAAATGTTTAGCAGAGTAACATTTTTCCTTCTGTTTTGCCAATTATGGTGGTTTTCCCTTAAATTTTCATCTTTTTACTTCATTGCTTTTTTACAAAAATGTTGGCATCGGCAAACAGCTTATTACTTTCATTTCAATCTTAAATTCATGGATTTGTTACTAATACCAAACTGATATAGAATGTCATGATAGCTTTGCATTAAGTACCTAGATTCCAGGTGGAAAATAAGCTGCTGAAATTTGAAAGTGTTCCCTTCTGCTCTAGAGACTTTTTGTTGTTGTTGTTTAAATAACTTAAAAATCTCCTGGACGCTGACAACACAGCTGGACTATTTTATTGAACCCTTGCAAACATTTTTGTAAAAACATTTAATTCCTGTGATTGTATATTGTTTGGCATGACGCTTTCCTTTTTATTTGTAGTGTGTATCTTTCCCTTGATGTTCATATTACATTAAAGCTGTCACTAAAAAAACTTTGGTATCCACAACTTAGGGTGGTTTTTGAAACACAGAAATACTTCAGATACCTGAAATTTTTAAGTTAAAAAACATTGCATCACAACTTTTGTTTATTTAAGCACACCTTTATCATATTTGCAGCTCAGATACCTTGAGAAGAATGCTGCTAACAGGTTTCTTTCATTACTAAAATAAGAAAGCAGCCTCATAGAGACCTTTTCAAACACAACTGTCAGGACCCACTGCCCTGGTCACATCACTTTGTGATTCTCCACAGTGCAGGAGGGTGTGGCCGTGGCAGGAGCTTTGCCCCATAGGCAGGTACAGCTGTTGGACTTCTGGAGAGTGGCAACACAGAGCACGGGGTGTTTTGTGTACTCAGGGTTATATTTGTTGATTGTTGGGTTGAAATTAGCATTGCTATTTCTAAAGGAAGTTTTGCTTCAGTAAGAATTGTGGGGAACTCTGCTATTACCTGTTTCTTGATCTCTTTTCTGAGGATGGTATATTTTGTGTCCTTGCAGCTCATCTCTGCCTTCTTGTATATTCCTGGGGTGGGGTGTTATGAACTGGCTTATGATTTATGTAATGGTTCAAAAGCCTCTTGGGTTACAAGGGCTGTACTGTCTCAGTAGACTCTGTTTATCACATATCACTTTTCAAAGAAAAGAGTTCAGAAGAGGAGATGCCAGATTGAACCATGCAATGCTTGAGGGGTTTTTGATTTTTTTCTTTTCTCATTTCTTCCTTTATTTCCCTTAAGCAGACTTCTTCATTCTCTTGCTGTGGCATCCAGGCAAAACTTATTTCCTTTTGTTTCTCTTGAGGCAACACTGTTTCCCCTTAGCCTGATTTCCCAATGTCTCCTGTAACAGCTTCCCTACATACATTTCCTTTAGCCACATGGTCCATTGTTTTTACTGTTTCAAAAGGGTTTGAGAAAAAACTCAGAAATGTGTAGTTTTGTTTTTAAAGTGCTTGCACTTGTACAAGAGTGCTTGTGTCCTTCATGCACTGAAATGCAGCTCTGGATTCCTTTGTTAGCTGGATGTGTTCCTTCTGTGGGCAGAGCTGTGTCCCTGGCAAGCATCTCCTGTGTTAGCAGTGCTTGTGCTGAGAGCAGGGCTCCAAGCAGGCAGCTTATCTTAGCACTCCTGCCTTCCTGACTGTGTTCCTCTGCTGTGGCTCAAGGCTCTGACACTGTTTCTGGAGGTGCTGCATCATCATAGATCTGAATAACTCAGGTAGCTCCTGATGCTGAAATGAAATAAACCTTTTATTTATTTATGATGGCTCAGAGGACCCTTGGTGTGGTCTGGTCAGTCTCTTGTTTGCAGAAATCACAATCTGCTTACTTTCTTTTTTAACATTGGCAACCACCATCATTCAACAACATGCATCATTCAACAAGAAAGATATCAGTCAATCCAAGTACTAATGTCAGACTGTATTTGTACCACGTTCTTCCTGTGCAAGGATTCTGTAGAACTCGTTTCAAATGGCTGTACAGAAATAGCCACTGACTTCTATCCGCATAGATTCACCATGGGAATTGAATGCAATTCTCAAGGAATGTGCCATTATCTGAGGAGGCCTTTGAAGATGTTTATGGGCAGAACTGGAAAGATGGGAAAGCCTCTCGGTCGCACCATGAGATGGATCAGTGGGGGATCTTCAGTCCTATGGAGTGGTCAGGTCACACTCTTTTTGCAGAGTTCAGCATCAGTGGAGTTTATGATGAAACCTTTATGAAACACTGCACTGATGCTGAAGCTCCCAGAGAGAGCTGGGTTCAGGAACGTGATCAACATCCACTGACTAACCAGAATGGGTGCAGAGGAGAGCAGTAGCCAGAGACTGTATGGGGTGGCTTGTAGGGCTGTGAGAAGAGTGAATGTCTGCCTCCAGGCCTTCCGACCCCTCCGGGTGGGCATCGGGACTGCTGCAGGTGAGAGGCAGCTGACAGCAGGGGCTGTGCCAGCACTCTGCCCTGCAGAGCACAAGGAAGGGCAGCACATGCATGTCTGTGGCAGAAAGTGTCAGAGTTCAGGTTATTTTAGTCAGGTATGTTAGGCAGAGAAATGATGCTTTCTTCAAAGAGCTGATTTTAGAGTGGGCTAAGATTTGTAAATTGGTCTGATTCTGCCAAGTACTGCATAAGAATTGAGCATTGTTGAAGTATTTTTTTTCTTAGCATTCATTTGTGCTTTCTTGAATCTAAATTATGTATCTTTTCTTTCCTCTCTTGGAGTTTATTTATAGAGACCAAAAATGTATCTGTTGGAGGTTTTCTCTCTAAAGGAGTTGGTAGTTTAAATGAAAGTGTGAAATGCTGCCTTGTGTTAAAATGCAGCTCACATTAAATCCATGCACAACACATTGCAAAGTATTTGGCTAGGGTTTTTTTTTTTTCCCCTAAATAAGCTAACATTTCAACATCTTTTGTATTCCAGAGGAAATCCTTAAGACAAGTTACTGGGGAGGAAAAAAACAAAGTGTCTAGCAGGAGTGTTGGATTAGACACAGCTACTTCTTGCCCTCCAGAAATTGGACAAGCACCTGGCGAGTTTCACCTGTCTCCTTCTAAACAATGTTGGATCAAGGAGGGATCCTCCCAGTATGGAGGTTTTCCAGGATTCAGTAGCAGTGATGGAGTATTAAGGGAACTGGATGATGGACAATATGACCAGGAAGATGGAGTCACTCAGGTCACATGTATGTGATAAAGTAAGTAACTGCATCAGATGGACATGTACATAATTCACACAAATGGATTTTTTTTTAAAAATTATACTACTTTAAATGCATTGGTGTAATCCTATGACTTTGCCCAGACTCATTTTGTATTGTTGTCAGTTTTTGTTGTGTTAATCCTACTGTAGTAATAATACTACTACAAAATCATTTCCTTTTCTGTCTCTCTTTAATAGTATAACTACAAGACTGGGTGTTCTCCTAACTTGTTAATGCTTTTGACAAGCAAGGAAGCAAAAGCTGCAAAAGAGTGACAGTTTGAGTTGTGTAAGGAGAAAGGAATGAGGATGTTTAGTATTTTCCACAAACTGGAGGAATGTTTTTGGGTTTGATTGATTGATTGTTTGTTGTTTGTTTTTCCAAGGGTGTTGTAAATATTGGTGGGGAAAGATGAACTGTCTGGCTGTTAAGTTTTAATGTAATTTTCACTTTATTTGCCTTGCATAAGTTCTAAAGCCTAGAGAAATGTCAGGTCTTAGCCTAGAGTGTTAGTAATTTAAGCTGCATTCAGACTTGGTGTGGACAGAAAAACTTGGGGTGCTGTAGGCAGATACTTGCTCCTGTAATAGTTTCACCTCTGCAGGTTGTATCAGAGTTCCTTGTTACGTGTAAGCCAGGTGCTGTCAGAGCTTATAACTTGTGTAATGAATGATGTATTTATAATTTACTCATGAGTGGAAATTAAGAACCACTCACCCCTGGAAAATACCTTGCAGTCTGTGAGCAAGTAGTTTGAGAAGCTCAGGAGCAGCACTGACATCAGTGTGCCCAGTGAAGCTGCTAACAGAGGAGGAGGACATAGGCTAAACTTAATGGGCAGTATTAGATCATGCAGTGTATACAAATATGCTGATGTGTATATAAAAAATGTCTCAGCTGAATGTATCTCACACTGGATGAAGTGTATTCAACTGCATCAAATACCAGACTTCCTTACCATGGGGAGGAGCTGCTTGCATTCAGTGAGAGTGATGCTGGCAGGGTTATGTGGGGAGAGGCACAAACAGAAATTATTTTTAGGCTGCTGTCTGGAAACTACACTTTACAGAGGAGAAGCTGAATAAAAATGTATCTCCAGAAAAAAATTGCATTTTTCATTTAGTTTTAGAAGCAAAAAACTATAAATGCTCTTCATATTTAAGCTAATGCAAAATAATTTAGTCAAGATGAGAAGTCAGAACAGAACTGAGCAATTGTATTCACAAGCCTGCTCTCAATGTTTGCAGTACAGCACACACATCACCCAGGGATTCTGATACCTGTCTCTGTGTGTTGTGCTGCAAACATGGAGAGAAATGTCATAAATATGTTTACCTACACCAGTCTGCTCCCCTGGGGGGTATCCCACCAGCTGCTGTGGGAATCTGCCTGTCCACAGTGGTAGGTTGCTGGCACTAAACACAGTGGGCAAATCAGTGCAGTGACAGGAACACCAACAACTAACTCCAAATGAGTACCCCAGGAGATGACCAGGATAATGGAAGTGTAGCTGCAGTCTCAGAGCTGTGCAGAAATAACAGGGGCAGAAGCTGCTTATTTTGATAAGCAAAAATTAACTCATGAAGGAAAAAAATTACACTTGCTGCTATTTCAATTTATTTTTGTAGGGTGGGCAGGGGGGGAACCCATTCTACTGGCATAATTAGTGTAGTGGGAGCTAGAAATATTATTGCTTTGGAGCTGCTTCCCAATTTGATTGTGAAATTCTTGGGGGCAGGCTTGTTTATTTTTTATTTTGGAAGAGGAACTCTTAACAGCTATTTGTAGCAGGTTTGGGATTTTTTTTTCCAAAAAAAAAAACACACAGCCCTGGAGCTGGAGACATTGCTTCAGCTTCTTTTTCCCATTGCATGCACTGTGGGGAGCAATGGGAGCACAGGGAATACCTGTAATAGGAGGCATGGTAAGAAATCCCTTCTTACCAAGGCTTCTCTCCCAGCTTTCCCAGCATTTCGAGGTCAGAGATGTGGGGCACAAACCTTGCATTTCATTCCCTGTCTGGGGCACTGTGTGGAGGAAGATCCCCCTGCTCACAGGGAGGGTGCTGGGCTGGGTGTTCCCTGCAGAGCCTGACCCAAATGCTGCTCCCTCCCTCTTGCAGCTGCTGCTCTGGGAACAGCAGTTGTAGTCACAGTTAGCAGGGATCTCCTCCCTGGTACACAGGGGGAAGAAATGATGGCCATACATGTTACATCTGTCTCTGGCAGAAAGCCAGGTAACTCTGGCATTTTGAAAATGGAGTAACAGCTGGGCTTTTGCAACTTGGAATACGTTGCTCTCCTTTTAAAAGTATTTTTCATGAGTTATCCAAAACTCTGGTGTGCTTGTAACTTTAACTACTGGTCATTCTCCATACAAGTCAAACCTGTAAAATAAGCCAGAATTGGTCAAAAACTTCAGCAATTCTGAATATTTCAAGTTGGAGCTTTTAAAATACATAAAGAAATTGCTTTTTATTAAGCACTGTTCTTGCTCATGGTGCTTAACAGTAGTGAATCCTTAAACAACACTGAACTACAACTATTAAGTTACAAAGTATAAAGTAGTAAATTTAATGCAGTTACTCTTTCTAGAATACATTACTTGGATGAAAAGAATCATTTAACTTTTAACTGAGATCTTATCAGCTGTTGAGAGTGCAGAAAATTCAAACAAAATAGTATCATTTTAAGAGATTTTCCCCTTACAAGTTATGGGAGGTACACAAGGGAGATTCTGTTTTGGTACAAGGGTACCACATGGATATATCCACAGGTACACTCTAAATTGTTACTTTTAGCAAGGCTTGTCTTAAAATGAAATAAAATCATATTCCTTTCCAGTAGTCCCCAGTTTTAACTGTGCTTTAGTTCTTGCTTGTGAATCTCACAGGTGTTGGCAGTGCTGCAGACCTCTGAATTTCTTTGTCTTTTTAATTCAGTATAAATATGTGAAATTGTTTCCTCTGAACACACTCAGCAATTCCTGTTAAAGAACAGCTGGGTTTTTTAAATGCCATTTTTCTCACAGTATGAAAGTTGCCCCTGCTGTAGAAATATTAATCTTGTTTTCCCAGGTCTCTATTGTCTTTAGCTCACAGGGCTACATTTAGGCTCTGTATGGAAGAGAATAAAATACAATTCTTCATATGGGGGGCAAAAAACCCCCAACCTGACAGGAGCCAAGATAGAAATGTGTAAAGTGAGTGGCACAGAGGGTGGCAAAGGAATGAATTCCTCAGCATTCTTTTTTTGGTACAAGAAATCAGAGCAATCATGGTAGTGGTAAGTAGCCAGTTTGAAATAAATCGTGGTATCTGTTCAGCTGACTGTAGAATTCTTTGCTGCAGGATGTTGTGTGTAAAGTTACATGGATTTAAAGGTGACCAAAAAACTCCTGGAAGGAAAAACATTATTCTCTCTGAAAGTCACTGAATCAGAAGCAGAAAAACTGGTCTGACTGCACACCTCTCCTGTTCTTTAGATTATCGTGAGCACCAGGGGCTTCAGCACTGGTGGCATGTAGCTGAGTGCTCTCCTGCTGCAAGGCTTGCTTTTCAAAGTCAGGGCAAGAGTTGTATCTGACTTCACACACTAGCCAAAGAACACAGTAAATCCTCCTAAGGTGTGGGTGCTGAAACAGACTAAATTGAAAATGCTCCTGAAACAAATTATGGAAAATCTTCTAATTTGTTCTTTATAGTTAAAAATGCTGAAAGACAACTACATCCCACCTGGATAAGTGAGAAGGGGAGAATGCATTTTGGGTAACAGGATTCTAATTTCAGAGACTCATTTCATCACCTGCTCTTACCAACCAGAGCATTTAGCTGTGCCTCTACTAGTGTGGGTGACCACCACTGTCCATTAAATAAACGAAGTTTGTAAATCACAAGAGGTGTCAGAGTGACTAACAAAACTTTTTGTATGCTATTATGTGTGTAATGTACACACAGTGCTCAGCTTCCATTTTACCAGAGTGCATTAACTTACTTTTTATTGTAAGAATTGCAAATTAAAGCATGGATGCCTTCTCTGACAGAAAAAGGAAGTACATTTTTGCTCAATGCCAGGGCTTCAGTCAGGGGCAGCCCCTGTGTCTGAACTGTAGTAGGAAAGTCCCCTACCTGTATGTGACAAGAGAAATGCCCTGCAACTATCAGAACAGAGATAGAAGGCAGCCAGTACTGTTCATGAACTTCTGCAAAAGAATGTTTATACTTTCTGCTGCTTAAATTGTTTGGAGAGGAAATAGTTTTCTAGTGTTTACAAACAGGAAGAAACTGTCCAATGTTAAATGTTTTGTACCCTGCTCATAATTGTCAGAAGTTTATTTACATACCTGGTAAATTGCAATAAACTGTTGCTTAACTTCTGTGTTTCCTATCTGTAAAGTACTATTTTTGTAAAGGGTAAGATCTTTTCTATAGTTCATATAGGAAGATTCCCACCATTAAAAGCACTTACCAAATCATTTGGTTTATTATGTTTGTCTCACACTGATATTAAATGGGTTAAATCAATGTCTGCCTTGCCTCAAGCTAGAATTGCTTTCTTGCAGTCCTGTCTGTACATCCAGACAGCTCACAGGGCAAAGCCTGATAGACTTACAGCCATCTATTAAAAGCTGATTAGGCTTTCCTTGTCATTAGTCTGTTATTCTTTTGAAGGCAAAAAATGCAAGCTGCTGTCTTGACTATTCCCTATGGATTAATTTAGAGAATCATGTAACTTCAGATTTACATTTTTCAACACCAAATTCCTGTATCAGAATTTAGACGAGTGTTACGATTTAAAGAAGTGAACATCCCTGGCTTGAGGTAAGCACAACTCAAAATGAAGAGACAAAGTGGTTTAGAGGAACTGGTCTGATGACCTGTTCTGATCTGTTTAAGCAGATGAACTTTGACATGTGAGAGAATTAAAATCTTAAAAGGAAAGTAGCAAAATCACCATGGCTGATGTGTTGCAAGATACACTGAGCCAAAAATCAGGAAAAACCTCAGTGATGAAGGAAAAAATAATTGGGAAGTTAGTTTTTGCTTACACTTGCTTTTGCATTTGTGACTTAATGTGCTTACTTTGTATCTGGAAGCCCCTCTTCTAGATCGGACACTTTTACTGTACGACCACCGTTTTATCTTTTGAGAGGTGTATAAATTTGAGGTCTGACTTCTAAGTTGCTAATGAGTATTGCATTTCTCTACTTTTGAAAGAAAACATACAACTTGACTTCAGCACACCTTGTAGCAGAGGGGAGAGCACTGAAGGTTCTCTTGGAAGCACGCAGTTGCTGCATTCTTGGACGACATGAAAAGTGAGAATAACTTGCCAAAATATCGTAGTATGGATAAAGAAACAAGTTTAATTTCATCCTTTTTTTTACAATATAGTTCAAAGACAGTCTCAGTTTCCCTATTACGTAGAGTCTAAATTAAATGTGTTAATATTTATTAGACAAATCAATGGTTTGCTTAGGCTAACTGAAGTTTTATGGTACCATCCAGGCACATGTGTGTACACAGTACTCATGTAAACAATAGCAAGGGAAAATACAAGCAGTGTCTCACTTAGGCCTTATATATAAAATCAGCTTAGTATAGCAAGTCAGCTTTACAGTGCAAATCTGAATGAGAATAAACAGGATTAAAACTTCCCGAGTCTTACTTTGAAGTGAAACTCTTAAAGCGTAAGAGGAAGAGGTTTAAAATTTTAATGCAGTCCTGAGCACCACATCATTTTCTTCAATTTTGTAGAGGAAATGTAATTAGCAACACCAGTTAGATGTTTTTGCCTGTCTCAGTCACTGTAGCCACTGTACACGTGCAGAGTGAGTGGACAGAGGAACCACACCATGGATGGTCCTAGAGCCGACTGTAACAAGGCTAAATACATTTTGCTGCCTCCAGAATGCAGTTCTCCTACCTGCAGTACAAACTTCAAGGTATCTGTCAAAATCAGGTTAACCCAGTCTATACAAGGCCAGTTACAGCTAAGTGTATAGACAGCAACTAAAGCTACTTTCACTCAGACGACATCTCATGCAATTACCCTGCAATTACAATGATAAACATGAGACAAAAAGAGCTGCTGAAGAATACAGCTGTTGAAGTACTTAAGCTTAGTCTGTTTTCTTGTTGTTTAAATTCCCTTTACATCCAGGTGAGGTGTGCTTGATTCATATAAAGAAACATAGAATTTAAGGCATGTTTAGTATAGTATGAAAAAAGACAATAAAAATAGGTGGACTCCCTTCTTTCCATGTAAATATAATGTAGAAAACAAAGTGTAAATTATTGAAACCAGCTGAGCCTAGCCCGTTCTGACCTGCTGAAAGAAATAAAGAGGGCTCCTGGCAACCTCAAAGAGAAACAACCAGCTAACTTCTTAAACAGCTATGCAAAATTCATTTAATATAAGAACACTGCTACTGCTTTTAGACCCTGCATTCATGTACACTTAGCAGTATTTCTGTTATATGCATCTCTAAAACATTTAGTTCTATCATTCTAGACATAACACAGTTAAGCAGCACTCATGGAAATTGTCAGTTATTGCAAATCTGCAAACACAGCTTCAAATAAACATCTGATAGGGAACAGAAGCATGAATCCAAATCTTTCTGTCAGAATAATTCAGGTGGAATGAAGAGAAACAAATGTATGTTGAAAACACGATTAGCTCTTGCAAAGAAGGGCATTCATTATTTCAGGTACTTAATGTTTGTTCTAGGAATACAAGCAGAGACCATGCTAGTGTGTTATGTAGTGTAACATGAGTAGTTGAGGTATAATCTGTAAGCAGTTGCCACCACTATGCACAGGTATTCTGTAGAGAGGTTGTGCACTGGAGAAGTCAGGTCTGCCTTAACAGGACAGCACCTGTCCCCTGCTGTACACAAACCTCCACTGTTAACAAAAAAACAAGTCCAGAAAGTGTGTTAGATATATATCAAGAATATATATGTTCAATAGCATAGTGAAATTGTCCTTTGGGTTAATACTATAGATCCTATTAGCATTTGGATATACACATACAGCAATATGCACATCCAGAAGTAAATCTACAAAGCCATCTTAAAAAAATAAAAGGTAAATTAGGAGTAAGCTACATTGCAAGGAGACCCCTGCAGAATTATATATTTAAGGTGATAATCTTTGAACTAAGACTTAGTATAGGTACTGCATTACAAAATGGCTTGGTGTGAAATCTTCATCTCACTGTTTTTCCCACCCAATCAGACACCTCTTCAGGATTGTGATTCAATGATTGTTTAGCAGCAGTTTTAGAGAACTGTAAATTCTTTTATTAACAGGCATTATAAACAGATACTACTACTTTTATTTAAAAACCATGAGTGCCACATTGGTGAATATACAGCTCATGAATAACTTAAAAGTATTTCCCATATTAAAAGGCAATGCACACAGCATACAAAAAGTGTACTAAACAAAGCTATGAAGATAGGTGATTGAAGTGTCTAAAATGATATATACAGTACGTCATTAATGTTTTGTTTTTATTCAGTACAGGCTTCTGTACTGCCGGCCCCATCATGCCTCACTTTCCCCTGACACTGAATTTTGCACTTCTTCTTCCAAAATCGGTACAATCAGGTTATCCTTGGACATCAGATTATACTTCATCACAAACTTAGTGAACCGGTGACACAAGAAAGTTTCATTCTGGAGATGGAAAAAAAAGGGGGAAAAACAGTATGTACAGAAGGATTATTTTAAGCAATCAGGAAGAACATAAAGAAACACCCCTGGCTTATATGTAATTGTCACATTAGATTTACAAGTCTTACAGAGAAACAGTCATGCTGAAATAGTAAACTTTTAACTGCTTCTTTGTATCTTTACTGTTTGCTTAGTTACTGCAATTAATAAAAAACCTACTGAAGTTTGAGTCACAGCTCAATTTAACAGCACTTAGGCAAGAATATATTTAAATGTCAATATAGTTCTGCAATTCCTTGTACATGTACTACTGCTAACAAAACAGGGCACAGCCATTCCACAGCTGTTCCAGCAACTTTAAGAGGGATTTGGCAAAGGCTTCCTTTTATATCCAGCTACATTCCTTATCTCCTTTTTATCTATTAATTTCTACTTTCCCATAACAAAAACAAACAAAGGTTACTGGAGGTGCACAAGCTGCCACCAGTCACTCCTTTTCTTTAGTTTTACAATTAAAATTCCTTAACTTGTGCAGGATATATATAGATATATATAGTACACATATTAGGAGAATTAACTACATCAAATGCTTGAATACATTCAGAATCTTGAAAACAAGATGAATTTGAGTGCTTTGTACAAACACTCTTAAATTTTGACCTTTTATCCCAGAATGAAGGGAAACCACAATCAGGTAACTAATAATATAAATGAATTTTTATGTGAACGTATAACAGCTTCTCAGTTGTTGTAAAACTGGAATCTACTATAATCAATCCTTCACTTGAATATAGATCTTCTGGTAGGACTAAGATGTCTTATACAATTATATCACAGCTGTAACTTCAGTAAATGCCCTGCTTTCACAATGTAATTTGAAACTACTTACTTCATATTCATCAAATATCTGCCGGTGATGAAAATAAGCGTGTGAAAATATTCTGTAAATCCTTCGGCACACTGATCCTAATTTGGCTACAGAGGATTCCTTTATGCTAACCCTGTAAGCACCAGGAGAAAGGTTACATAACAGATCTAAGGAGTGAGATAACACACTGACACGAATTCTGATTGTTAAAACTATACTGTGTGCATATTGCATATGGAAGTTAGACAGATATCTGTGTCTGCCATTGCTTATTTTTGGAAGCAAAGTAAAAATGTTGGTGAAAGCCCCACACTTAGAAATTGTAAGTTTTTACAAATTACAGATTGTACTCTAACTACAAAAAGAGTTTTGCATGTAGTTAATCATCATCAGTTATTCCAGTGAAGGCTGGATTTCTGGTTTCCAGCACTGATGGGCAAAGAAAAAAAAGACTTCCAGTTGTACCTCCTTGTCAATACTGGATTCCTACAGTAATCTCGACTTCTCTAGGGGGGTTTCTGTGATGTGAGCTGCCCATTCAGTACCCTCAGTCTGTCTTGTGTGGTTGCTGTGTCCCACAGTACACTGTTGTTGGCCTCTGGAAGCTTTCCTGTCACACTGTTTTAAGTCCTTAGAGCTGCAGCATCTCTCTAAAGGCGAGCCTGTTACTTAGGTGGGCACTGCTCCCATAGAAGCCCCATAACACTAACAGGTATTAGTAAAACAGCTTCCACCTAAAAAGCATCTGTCAGGTCCAGTAAATGGTAAACTATTTAAATAAGCAATTATTCCTTGGCTTAAAAGGTGCAGTAGGCCTACCAACTTGTGACAGATGCAGGACTTCTGATAGTTCCAGCAGTAGTCCATGAAAAATGCATTACACCTTTCCACGTGTTTTGTGAGTGTCAGGTGCCACCTCTTCCCTCCCTCCTCCCAAGAGAAAGTGTTTTTACCTGCTGGGGAAATATTTATTGCTATTCAGAAGACATGCAGCTCCATCAAGTGTGTGCCTGGTGTAGTCTATAGCAGGACACTACAGAAACAGACAGTGAGTGAGCACAAGTATGAGCACATGCTCTTGTCACAGAACTGGTTTAAAAAGAAGCATTTTAATTATGTCTCTTGATGCTTTTAAATTCACTGGTCATTTTTATTCCCAGAAGTTGCACATTGCTTCTGAAGGTATAACTACATTTCCTCCTAAAGTGAGCCATTTCTTTCCTCTGTTTCACAACCCATGTAAATTATTTCAAGAAAAAAATTTACTATGGAAATGTAATTATGCACATGAGTAAGTGAATTTTATGCATCTCTGTAAGTAAAGGTGTATAATAAGAATACATGCTGGAAGTGCACTGAAAGGAAAGATGATTGTTACCTCACAGTTCATTTGTTTCCCACATAGTCAAGTTGCCAGACTCACTCTTTACAGGCTCTCAACCCAAACCTGCACCTAAATCTATCCATGCTTTTTCCCTTGGCAAAGAAAACTAGAATCATGAGTGTAACTACGTGTATAACAAGCCAAGCCCTGGCTCTGCAGTCAAGTACAGGAGAAGGAAGAAAGTAAAGACAGGCTGAGAGCAGGAACATTTATCTGTCTATGTTGCTGTTCACCAGTGTCAGGAAGAAGACTTCTCAGCTGTACATTTCTGTCAGCAGGTCAAGGTTCCATGTGACCATTACTAGGTAGGTAGTACTGATGTGGAGAACAGGAGCTGAGTGCTGCATGCTGAGGTAAAAAGCAGCCTGAAGTTCTCTGGTCCAGCTGAGTAAAACACTTACAGCCAGACATGCCAATATACCGAGTGGGGACAGGGCTTCAAGGAGGGAGGGGGAAAGAAGTTGGCCTTCAGAGCTAAATCAAGACATCTCAGGAAATTAAAAGCAGAACGAAAAGGAAAAAAAGTTTACAGGAGAAAAGGGATAAGATTAAAAAGAACCAATACCCTTATTCAGGAAGATGAATACAAAGCTAAATATGACAGACTGCACTACTGCCATAACCAATAGTAACAAACACCTTCTGAGGGCAAAAATAAGTGTATCAAGGTGTTCAGCAGAAGATCTGAACAAAGTTTGAAGTAACAGGACACTGAGGGAGATGAGCTACTGCCATGCTGATAAACCCACTCGACATGAAGCATTTTTATGGCTCCACTACCTTTTAGGAGTAACTCCCCTAAGACTGTGCACATGCAGTCACTTCCTCAGTGTCAGGCTTACACTGTGGATCAAGGCCAAAGTCTGAAGAGGACAACCTATTCTCAGCATGTACTCTTCTGTCCATTAAGGAAAGAGCTTTTTCCCTGGAGTTTCAGGCTGGCTCAGCACAAATTAATAGAGAAAAGAGGGGAATGTGCAGAGTCACAAATACTGAGCTAAAAAGCAGTTCCTTCTTACCTCATCCTGTTCTTTTGTAAAACACTGTGGAGTGGCAAAGAGGAACAGCTCGAGTGATATTCCTAACCCACATAAGCCCTTGGTTTGACTAGGGAGCCAGCTCTCCTGAACATACCAGCTGGGAAAAACAACTCCTACATCACTGGGCTCGGTGATTTAGTTTTCCAAAATACATTCCTACCTCTTTGGGAGTTTTATGAGCTGCACAAAGAAAAATCCATTGTTCAGTTGCTGTCATCTGAGTACATGTGTCAGGGTGACATTCACTCTGTTAAAACAATTGTTCAGTTAAGAAAACCACCCAGCAGCAAAAATGAGCTCATCTTTTCAAATCACTTCCTTGCCCTGTCCCCCACAAAAAAAGGGTTATTTGCCAGAATAAAACCCTACAAAACTCTTACCTCAAACCACTGTTTAGGTCTGTGTGTATAAATTTAGAGGAAAGCTCTGCAAACTCTGCATCTACACAATACAAAAAGTCTCCCCCCCCACATCAAATATAAAAGTCTCAAGAATTACCTGAAGCTTGACAGCTAATCCATTGAGCTCAAGGCAGAATTGTCTAGAAAAAATTTGAACACAGCAGCATAAAGATCAACTATTTGTTTATTCACTGGAAATATCTCATAAGAAACAGGGTATACATTCTGATTTTCTTAACACCAGTAGATGCATTTTTTTTTATTCAGCTAAACAATTTTATTTTAATTCGTAACTGACAGTACAGGCTGAGCTTAATAAATAGTTTAGTGAGTGTTTAAGATACCAGCTTTGTTATGAAAGCAAGTGCTATTTCACAAATATAGACTAAAAAAAAAAAAAGACACTTCAATAAAATTAATTTCTTAAGAGTGAAAGTTTTAAACTCATACAGCTGGATCATTCCATCCTTCTGAGATGTACTTGTAATAATTTAAGTGGCTAAAGTCCTACCACAGATCACTGTCAGAATGGGACTTCTGAAAATACTGTTTTCACTGGAATGAATCTGGAAGTGCATTCTTTAACTTATGAGAATTTCCCCCTCCATCCTACAAGAAAATCTGAATAAATTTTCTAAAACTGACAAGTATTTAGTGACAAGTCACTTCTATGAATCTACCAAGCTTTTTGGTGTATGTGAAAGGACAGGGGAAATCCTTAAAATGTGTCTTTTGCCATTGTGTTTGTACACTTTTTCCTTTCTTGAGGATTCTCTGTATCTAGTAGAACTATTCCAGACTAGAGAAGAGAAAAAGGAAACAGGAGGCAAAAAGTCAAGGTGTATAAATCTAGGAGGAGCTTGGAACTGTTCTTGTTCTTGAAAGTGTATCTGATAAACTCAGAAGATACACTTACGAGAAACATAAAAATCAGGACACGGGTACTCCTGCTTTCCCAGCTAAAGCCTGTTTTCCTGCAAGTTTCAGAAAAAGCACTGAGGGCATGTGGAAATCACATTCCCAATTAGCAGAGATGAAGAACTGATGACACTGTGAGAAGGTGCTATGGAAATTCATGACTATATTTTCATATTCAAGACATGCTGATACAACTTTTTTAGTGACTTAACATTGTCTTAAAAAACATCAAAAGCACTAGATCAGAATGCATCATAAATCTTTGGAAAGAACTGGGAATCCAGAAAATAATACCCATACTCAATAGCAGAAAAATCAGGTTACTTTTTTTTTTTGACTCACTACCACTATCGGTGAACAAAACTCAGAACCAAGACACAACGTTGACAAAAGATGGATTCTTACCTTAAATGTTCATACTTCCATACACCTTCATCCTGGCCTTCAGGAGGTTCAAGGATCTTATCAATGTTGGAACAGTCTGCCCTTATGTTTTGTTGAATGTACTAGGAGAGGGAGGGGGAAGAAATCTGTATCTTCTTGTAATTATAGTAAGACGGGATATCTAGGGCAGTACATCTTTGAGGGACTTAGTTTTTCTCTTTAAGAAGCGACTGACAGACTAAAAAGTTAAAGAGTAGATGGGGTAAGAAAATGGGTATTAAAAAATGCCAGATCTGAAAAAGGCTTTTCTTCAATTAGAAAAGGTAAAAGAATGGGTAAATTTTACAGCTTTTTTACAACATTTATGTCAAAAAAAAACCCCAAACCTCGTAGGAACCCCCACTATTTTCTCAAATCTGATTTGTTTAAACCAGACATGGGAATTCTAGTTATTTCTACTAATACAGTTACAGTTTTTTAATATAAATCGCTGCTTGTGAAATTCACTGCTGTGCAGCAACATCCGAAGCAGATAAATAGGCTGACATCATTAACACATTTCATGTAAGTATAGAATACCTGCTGAACAGCTAATGTACTATCCATTTCTTCAAAGGATTCATCAGGCCAGTTATAGAAATCCTGTTAAAAAAAAAAAGTTTAAAGCAATTTAACAAACCTAGAGGGGGAAGAATAAAAACACACAGCCTACAACAAGCTTGACCGTGCAGGAAAATAGATGGAGTTTATACAATTCCAGGAAGCTCCATCTTAACAGAAGCAGGTCCTGGCACACAGTCCTGCCAGGAACAGGGTGAGACAGGACTCATGCTCCTCACGTTGCAATAGCAGAACGTCTTGAAATGAAAGTTCTGCGTGACTCGGCATGTGAACATCATCACTTCTCCACGCCTTGCTGTAACACCCACTGAGCCCGGATTTCTACCATTAAATACTGCACAGAGTGCCCATTTCACATGGCAGGAACGGGGAAGAGAAGAGGTTTGTAGAGAGCAGCACTGTACAATGGTTATAAAACTAAAAATCCCAGCAGTGACACAGCACTGAGAACATCTTCTCTGAACGGAGCTGTAAGGCCACGTTGGCCCAACGTGGTACCACAGTCCCTAGGTCAGTACCTGGATGGTCGTCAGCCCTGCTAGTGACAAAACCCTCCTCAAGTTTCACCTCAGCGTTCTGCAGCAATTCCCATCTGCTGCTCCTACGACCATCCCACACAGGCGTTTTCTCACTCTGCATTTTCTGTATCTAAAATGTAGTGCTACTCCCTCGTACCATCCAGACATCCTGCACATCAGCGAGCCCTGGCCACCCCAGTAGGTTCAGTGACTCAGTGAAAATGTCCCAGCTGCAAAGCTCAGCAATCTGCTCCTGAGAGAATAAGTCACCTCTGGAGAAAATACCTACAGGGAATACCCACGGCTGAAATATCATCGACTAATTGTATTCACACAATTAATAACTATACCAGGGTAATCCAAAAAAAGAGAAATCATGTCTATAAAAAAAAATAATCATCACTATACACAAAACTCTTCAACCTATATGAACTTTATACTATTTGACAAAATCTAGGTCCCTGTCCAGCTTACTGTTTTTCAGGATAACCCAAAATTTATGAAAGGCACACAACGTTCCATCTCATTCACAGAGTAAACACCTATAGAATGAACTGATTTACATGGTTGTGTAATAGTTTTACTTCGATACGTCATGATAAAAGGAGGAAACACCTTTTGCCATACACTGCTCCGTTCTGACCGTGAGCTCTCCTTCCTAAAGCAGAGTAAAAGTCTCACACCGAGGCCTCACAGATCACATCTCTGAAGCGAGACGTGCCTTTTCCAGCTGACCCTGAGACCCCAGAAAGACACGAATTTAGTTTCGATGAAGAGAGGCGATGTGACACCAGCGGCTCCCTGTGCCGGGAGCGCAGTTACGTAAGGGCAGGATGACTCCCCTGTGGGATGGGCCGGCAGGTGCGGCACACGGTGGGTGGGCTCCCTGCCGGGCCGTGCGTTCCGTGTTTTACTGACAACACCGGCAGTGCCTGCCAGCGCCGGGAGCCGCCCCGCCCGCAGGGCCCGGGGAGCAGCGCCCGGGCCCGGCTGTCACCGTGCGCCCGGCCCGCCGAGGCCCCCGTCCGGTCCCTCACCCATCAGGCCGAACGCGGCCCGAGCCCCCGCCCCGAGCCCGGCAGCCCCGGGGGGCGGCGCCGACCGGCCGGGCCCGCGGTGAAGGAGCCGCCGCCGTCCCCGCTCCGCTCCCCTCCCCGGCGGCAACAAAGCGATCCCCGCAGCGGGGCCGCCTCCGCCGCCCGCCTCAGTCCCGGCAGGCCCGGCGTGGCCCGCGACACTGCCCCGCCGGGCCGGCGGGTGCCGGCGCCTCGACAGTGGCGCTGCCCGTGCCCGCCCGGGGGCCGCGGGGCAGCGGCGGGGGCTCACCTGCGCCTTGGTGCCCGGGCGGTTCCGCCGCAGCACGGCCGTGCCCTCCGCCATGACCATGGCGAGCGCGGCCCGGATGTGCCGCGGGGCCCGGATGTGCCCGGGGCCGCGCGGGGGGGGGGGGGGGGGGGACGGCTTCCCGCGGGAGGGGGGGGGGGGGCCCCGGGGGGGGCCCCCGCCCCAGCCCCCGCCCCCCCCGGCATTCCCCCCCCCTCCGAGCCGCTTCCCTGGGGGCACCGCTGTCTGGGCAGCCATGGGTCCCTCTTCCCCAGGGCGGAGCTTTGTCCTCCTGGGGGGCGGCAGCGACGCCCCGCACACACACACGCGCGGCCGGGAGGGGGGCACGGCTCCGGCAGCTGCAGCGGCGAACGAGCTGCCGGGTTTGTGGAGCGGAGTGTTTGCTGAGGAAATCCACCCTGCGGGATTTCACCCTGTTTCATCAGCACCCCCCCGGCAGCCCTGGCTGTGCGGGCGCCCCCGCAAGGTCAGTCAGTCCCGTCTTGTCTCCGCACAGTCCGCCGAGTTCTGTATGAAACAAACCCTAACGGTGCGAATTTAAAAAACACTCCAGCTCCCGTATTCGAAATATACAGTTGTTAAGCGAAGAACAAGCAACTCTACAGTTTGGAAGACCAGAGTGGCTCATGTTATTTCCGTAGGATTAGCAGGAAGAAAACATTTTGGAAGCTTCCTTGTTTCTAGGGAATAGATGGCAGAAAGGAGCACAGAGTAAATAAGGGAGGGTGAATTGCTTCAGTGTGAGAGGCTGTGAAGCAGCAAGGCACAGGTGAGATACCTCCCTTATCCAAACAGTGAATAAGGGGTTGCAGGTGTGTGTTGTGTCCTGAGAAGTGGAGAAGGATTGTACCTGGTGCTGCCCCTGCTTCCACCACCTTACAGGATGAATGCTGTGTGTAGCTCCCCTCCTCACTCAATTAATTTGCTCTAAATAACACGTGCTTCCCCATGTTAAAACCTCTTCCTTCTACCCACAGACGATTAAGTTTGTGAAACATTTCTAGACTGAAAACATTGGAAAACGTCTAAATAGGCTTTCCCATCAGAAAGAGAAGCGCACTTTGAACCCTGGCTTTGCTTGGGCAATGCCATGGGCAGGACCCTGCGGTGCTCTGGAGGCCAGGGAAGAGCTGAAAGCTGGGAAACGTGGGAGCGAGGAGAAATGGATACCAGGGTCACCACCTGGCCCAGCTACCCCACACTTTACACTGACCCTCACGTTACACTGTAACACGGGGCTGGCTCCTGACTTCAGGCACCCCAGTTCAGTTTGCACTAGTTACTTTTTTACTGCTGCCCCAGAGATGTTAGTTAGCTGCTGGGGTCGTGTGGCGAAACTCAGCTTGTGTAAAAAACCATCAAAAGGTTAAAAATGTTCAGGGAAACTGGTGTATTAGAATGAAGGGTACAAATGTCCTCTCACCTCATGAGATCAGCTGTATTCTGACATTAATTTTTTATGAGATTGATATTATAATTAGTCTCAAAATAAAAGCACTTCTAGCTAAATCCTTCAAAATCCAGCAGCTTGTTAGGGTTATTTTTTGTTTGTTTTCTTTTCCTTTCATCATATTCAAGGTTTAACTGGTATCTCTAGCACAGGAGAGTTGGAGATTTGACATTTTCATTTGTCTCTGACTTTTATTTCATGGCCATCTTGCTTTTAAAATGGAAATAAATCTGACTGTGAAGAAATACCTCTCAGAGAGAAATATGTATCTGTTAGTTTAATCTGCAACTGGCTCAGGATTTTGTAGAAAAAAGGAAAGAAATCTGCCCTGTTTATTAAGATGTTGAAGTCTGTAGGGTATCTCATGTTGCCTCTTGATAATTAACCCTGTGTTCCTGAAAGCTGCTCATTATTTTATTGGATTTCAAGTTGCTTTTAAACAAAATCTGATCAACGTTTAATTTCAGGGTTTTGATTCAGCTGGTCCTCATTGCCTCATGGCTTTCAAGAATGAAAAATTGAATATTTGGCCAAAATCTTACTAACCCTTCATGTGTTGTTGGGGTCCTGGCCTTCCTTTGTTTTCTGTTGGCATGTAAATGTTTCATCCTTGTCTTACCATGGCAGGATAACATAACCAGGATGATAAAAGCTTTCTGAAAATAATAAAGCTGCTGCTCATGGAAACTGTTCTGAAATGTTAAGACAGGAAAGTCACAAAAGGAGAGGGAATCCATCTCGTTTCTTTGTGATTCAGATAGACTGAAGAAAGGTGGAAAAGGACTGTATCCCCCCCAAAAAGGCAGGTAGGGCAACATGCAACATTTATGCTAAAATTGAAGTTCTGAAATAATCTAGAAAACAGTGGAATAAAGAAGCCTAAATTCCTACAGGAACAACACAGCAGATAAAGAGGATTTGTGATTGATTCTGTTCTCCTCTGTAGAACCTGAGGGATATAGAATTTGGCATGCAGTCATGGACTAAAAGACAGTAACAGCAGATGGATCACCTTGGCTGTGCAGCAGTAGCCTTGTCCTTGCTTGCAGTGATAGCCTCACAGTGCAAGAATAGAATGTTCCCTGTCTGTCCATCCAGCAGATGTTCAAGCATGTCCTCAATTTGATTAGGCTCAGGAATGCTATTTTCCCCCCACATCTGTAAATTACTTATTCCCATCTAAGTGTGACCTCTGGTTTTAATCAGTTATGTAAACACTGGTAGATACAGCCATGCTAGATATCTGACTAAATAAGCACGGTATCAAGCTGCTGAAAATCTGCTGGGGCTGAAAGCACGGGCTGGAGGCAGAGCTGGGGGCAGCCAGGCTTGTGTGGTGAGACTTCAGTGATGTCTCTAAAAGCCATCATGGAAAGAAATGCTGAAATGTCAGGCCTAAACATTTCTCCCTTGGGAGTAAATTCCTACTGCATTTTTTTCTCACTGAGATGGGGGTCTAGTTTCCCTGAGTAGTTTGGAAATGTCTAGAATACCTTCCCCTCTTTGGTATGTAACTGCACCAGGCCGCCTACCTTATCGTGGAAGATAAAAGCCTGCTGGCTCTAGGGGGAGATAGTGCTTCTCAGGGAGTTTGTGTTTCATTACACAATCAATTGTCTTTCAAGGGACTTGTCCTGTGGTTATCTTCAGTTTCAGCTCTGACGTGCAGCGCTGGAACTACTGAAGGAAAACGCCAACAGGGCAGATTTCATGTTTTATACTAAAACATGTATTTTTATTAATTGAGCACCTCCTCTGTCAGTACACAGTTCAGTGCAAATTGAACCACTGGACTGCTGCCTGCTTTGCCTGCAGCTCCAGAGCAGGCAGGGGTAACCAGCCAACTAGGAGCACCCCCCAGGGCTGTGGGGAACAAAAGACATTGCAGCCAAGACTGTCAAATGCAGCTCCTAGTGGGACAGCTGGGGGATCACTGGCATCTAGGGAAAAATGTGGCTCCAGCTCACCTCTGTGCTCAAGTTCAGCTGATGGAGGAATTTTCTGTTGGCAGAAAATACATTGTTTCAGACTACAAACACATTCAAATGTTCAAAACAGACTGCGTGTCAGAGCTCCAGTCCCTCCCTAGTGCAGCTGCTGAAAGGAGTCCTGAGAAACGTCTTTCATTACAGTTCTTTGGTGTTACTTCCAGAATAAGGGTTATAATGTATCCAGCAATGTTGATTTATCAGCTTGAACGGACTGGCAATGAAGTACAGTTCAACTACAGTCAATAGTTTCAGCAGCAGAAGGTCATATACTGACTTACACCACTCAGACTACACCAAGAGCATCTTAACAGAGTGTGTGTTCTTAGACTGCACTAGGTCACTGTACCCACACCAGCTTTCAAAGTGTCACTAGGAACAGTGTGTAAAGTGCAGATTTGTGTACTCCTGCATGAACAACCTTGAATCTTTTTCAAGGCAAGATAGAGTGGCTAGAAATATGCAAATCTGATGACTTCAGCGTTACTTGAGTAAATAGTACTTGCTATTTAAGAATGGTGTTTAAAGTATAAATCAGTTTATGAAATCAGGTCTCTACTGAGGCATGGGAAAGCTGGAGATCTGGGTGCAACAGCATAGTAATCAGCAAAGAAACTTCACTGAAGCTCAGCATTAGCCTCCTTTCTGCCTGACTGGTGTGGGGAAGTCATTTTCTATTGGCAAAATTCACTGAGAGATAAGCAAGAATAACCACTCTTATCTGCTTCATCAATGAACTGGGTGATTCAGTTCTAGCACAGACAGGATAGTACCAAGCTCCTCCATCCTCCCGTGGGACAGGCTGTTTGTGGCAGGGTGCTTTGTGTGCTTTAACCTTCCAGTGTTTCAGGGTCTTCAGATAAGGGAAGTTAACCCCCTCCATGCTGCCTCAGGAGTTCAGTGTGCAAGGGAGATAGCTGAAAGACCCAGCATGACTGCATCTGCCTGATAGCCCTTTTACACTCATTTCATACAAGCCTGGGGAAAATAACATATTATTACAACTGAATGTTTCAGAGAGATTAGTACATTACACAACTGAGACTCAGTTTCACTGAGCAACAGCAGAAACTGAAACAGAAGCAGAAGAGTTTTATAAGTTTATTGTAAAGACCTTTACAACCTCAGTACAGAGATAAGGATATAAAATGGTGTTGTTTGGAATAATTAAGGCTGGTTGGCGGTCATCCAAATTTCACTGTTCAATGGAACTCAAGCAAGATCAACCGATTTCTGACTGTACATATTTTTATTTGTGTTCCATCCTTACAGTGAGATCACAAGTTATTTCAAAGACTCAATGCCTGCTTATTATAAAATAAAGGACATTATTTACATGATGAAAGAAAAATTTCAGCATTTTAGTGGAATGGATGACTGATACTGCAACAGGTTTAGTCCAAGTATTTCCCAAGAATGTCACCATCTCTAAACAAGTAGTAGTCCTGCAAAGAAAAGAAACATTAGTATCTGACATAGTGGGGTTTTTGCTGGTTTGCAAAGCCTGTTTTGTTCTGAGGTCAGAGTTATCACAGTCATGAAGTACAAAAGCAAAAGTGAGCTAACCAAGAAGTAAAGATGTAGAGCTAGTCTGGAAAACATTCTTTTTGTTCATAAGATACTCTCTGGAGAGCTACCAAGTTACTACTTTTAGTAGCGGGAAGCACAAGAACT